TGGCGCACGTGTTGCACGATTCGTGGTATGATCAAAAGGCGGATAGCGGTGTAGCTCGTTGGGTGATATTTCAACGAGACAGTCGACGGAGCTTTGGGCGTAAATCTGGAGCGTCTCCGCCCAGTCGCCACGTCGGAAGGACAAATGAGAAGGAACGAGCGAGGAAAGAAGACCGGAGAAAGCCGTGCTAGTCACAATGACTCAAGTCCCACGCGAGGGGATTAAGAAAAAAGAAGAAACCCGGTATTTATTTAAGCAGGGTAAGCGCCTCTGGCGGGATGCAAGAATCATGCAAGAATGATGGCAAAGTCATCCGGTTGAAGGCGGCGATCCGCGGGCGATGGCCAACGTGGGTCCCGTGATTGGTTGGCCTGGCCTGCCGTCCGTGGCTGCCTGAGGATGTTGTCTCCTTCCCCATTCGGACCATCTAGTGTCATCGAAGTATGTACATGTCTATCATCTATCCAGTATACTATACTATACCATGCCGTATGATACCCTCCACCTTCCTCTATTGTACCTTACTCCCGTCGCGCCAGATTCGAATGCAACTTGTGTTGCCGCATCCCCAGACTCACGGCAGCACCGAGAATGGCGAGTGCGAGCAGAGTAACAAAAGCAGCCTGCAACGATGCCACGTACGCGTCCAGCACGCCGGGTTTCCAGTCCGCCGGCAGCTTCCATATCTCGTCCAGGCTGTCTCGGATGCGCCGGATCACTTCGTCGGCATCCTCTCGGTTGCCAAACCGAGTCCAAAGACCAGATTTCAGCATGTTCTGGAACACCGCGGACGCAACGGTGATACCGATCGTGCTGCCAGTGCTGCGGAATGCGTAGGAGGCCGAGGTGATCACGGCATGGTGCTTATGATCCACCGCCGAGATCAGCGCCACCAGAGTAATGGTGAGCATGCTCCCGTAAGCAACCCCCAGGATGAAGAAGTACACGAACGGCAGCAAGGTTGGAGTGTTCAGATCCAGAGTACTGATGAGGCTTCCCCCGAGAACCATCAAGGTCATAGCGACAAAGTTCATGGCCTGATAACGTCCGGTGGCGCGCATGAGGATCCCTGATCCCAGTGAGCCCATTGCGGTTCCGACCGCTTGAGGGATCAGCCGGACACCAGCGGCCGTCGCCGACAAGCCCTGGACCTGGAAGAAAAGCGGCAGATAGAATAGCAGCCCGAATACCGCCATCGTCGTGAACCAATTGGTGAGACAGGCAGAAGAGACCGTACGATCCAGAAGCAAGCGAACCGGGATGACAGGCTCGGAGGCGACATTCGCCTCCACATAAACAAAAATGCAAAAGGAGACGGCCGAAAAAGGCAGAGTCGTGAGAATCAGAGGATGGGTCCAAGGCACTTGGTTTCCACCCGCATTGAGGCCTAGCAGGAACAGAATGAGGGTGATCACTAACGTGATAGCGCCGAGGAAGTCAATTCGCTTCAACTTTCCCCGCGTGGTCTCCTTGACGGGCACCTTAACGGTAAAGGCGACGACAATACACGACACAGCGACGAACGGGACCTGTATCAAGAAAGCCCATCGCCATCCTAAGGTGTCGTTGATCCATCCTCCGAACACGCCGCCGAGCCCACTTCCGGCCCCGTAGCAGAGGTTTCCGATGCCCTGCCAAACACCACGTTTCCGGAGAGGTACCAAGTCCGACGTGACGAAAGTTGAAATTGCCGTCAGACCTCCGCCGCCGATGCCTGCAACAACCCGGCCCAATATGATAGTCCACTCGCTTTTCGCAAGACCGCAGATCACGTTCCCCGCGGCGAAGAAGATGTTAGACAAGACGAGCCCCGTGCGTCGAGAGAAAATATCGGTCAGTCGCCCACTCAATGGTTGAAATGCTGCGTTGGAGATCAAATAGGATGTGGCCAGCCAGGATAGTAGGGAAAGTGAATGAAAGGAGGACGAGATGGGAGCCGTCAGAGTTGCGACAATGGTTGTATCTAGTATTACTGTTAGCTGCGGTCAGAGTCCAGAGAAGCGGATCGGACATACCTAGGGCTGCCAAAAAGACTCCGATCCAGACACTTCCCAGTACCAGCAACAGTTCCTTCGTGGTGGGTTCTTGGGCGAGAGGGGCCTCTGAGTCTTGAGGAGTGGCCGTAGCATCCTGAGTCTGGTCCCCAAGGAGCGGTGTCTGCTCCGAAACTGGGGCTCTCGTGACGTCGGCTGCAGCGGTCGGATTGGATTGAACTGAAGCCATAGTTATACAACAATCTATTGTGGGTTCAATCCCCTGGATTGCGAATATTGATGGTCGACGCTGCGAGCGGGGAGAAATTGGGGTCGGAACGTGGAGGCGCTCCGACTGATCGCCGATGATGACATCCCGACGGTCTCGGCCTGATTTCCGAGGCACGCCTTGTGCGGTCCGCCTTCTCGACCTTTTCCACTCCCTTCCCCTTCATAGAATCCTGCATTGAATATGAGAAGAATGAAGAGGATACGGCTAAACTATCAGGATTACGATTATCTTAGTGATACCTCCAATCGGAGATACGGACACCCCTTGCTTGATCGACTAGACCGATCAAATCAGGCCAGTCAAGTGAGTCTATATCTGGAGTTAGAGGAGTGACAGCGATGTCAGAACGTACCTGATACCTTAAAATGGGATATATCTGCTCGAAGCTCCTATGCTCATGGGTATCCTTGATCTAAACCCGATAGAGCGTGTTCCGTAGCCTTCTAGGCCCATGTTAAGTATCCGATTTGCTACATCCATTTAAACCAGCCTGGGTATCCCTGCGTTCTTCCCCTGAATGCATTACGCGCCTTACCTCAAGTCCGAAGACCTTGAGTGATTGAATCTTTCCCGAATCCTGGATACTATATGCGTACAAAAGGATTGTTCTTGTTCTCCAGTATATACAAGACGCCAGACGCAGATTCTCAAGAATGTAGGGTTTCGAATGTGGCATTGCAAAGGCACGGTTGCTAGAGGATTCACGATTTATTATGTGCCGTGGGGCAAGAATATGATGAGGACATTTGGGGCTCCGGCGATGCTTTTGGTAGAATAAGCCTCGTCCTCTCCAACGTGTACTGTACAGAAGCTCCATGCAAAATAGGAAGGCGAAAGACTCTCCAGCCACCAAATACCATACGTGCGTGATTCACGATTGCCGCTTGCTGTTCTCAATTGCATTCTTTGTGATTCGTTCGTTTCTCGTCGTTGGGGTATTGCGCCCGAGAGTTACTGTGCCATTTCGTTGCATCTTGCCATTCGGGATTGCAGGGTTGGACCATCTGAGACCATAATTTAACTATTAATTAAAAACAGGTTCTTTTCTCTGTAATGACTCCGAGTTAAATTAACCACATCGATAGAAATTAGCACGGACGTGGCGATCCACAATGACAATTGACGGCAGGGAGCAGGTCCAATGACCTCAATGCGCTTCGGTGGCCTGAGATTCAAAATCCACGGCGAAATCGGGTCAATTAAAAACCAATTAATTGTTAAGCTTGTCTGGGATTCTGGATAGAGGAAGAAGACAGACTCAAGGGGCCCACGCAGGCTCTGGTACCTGGAGCTAATCTGGAACGGTGATAGTCTAGTTTTCTTAATATATCTCGAATCTTTCTAGAACAGGACAATTTAACCCAGTAATCCAGATCGGAAGTTCTGGTGAAGGACATGACTTTTGTAGCGTCGGACTCTGCTCAACCCAGTCAGTCAGCCCCTGGAAGAGTCAAATCTCCTTGATCAGGGGCGTCAATATGTGTAAACTGGTTCGGTGAGTTCGGACAGTTTAAGGCAGTTGGCCCGGGAATCCAATTTCCAAGAGACAGATAGTCTTAAGATAACCAATAACTCAACTAAAAAGGCTGTGGATGCTCAGATTTTGCCGATTTCCGGTTTCTTTCTTACGCTGCGAATTGAGCTGAGTTGGGGATGTTCTAGCTAGCTTGGTTAACTAGTTGACACCCATGATTTAGTCAACTTCGGGCATTGGAGATACGTCAGGTTCAGGGATGAAGACTGTCGCAGGATAGTCCCTTGACTGTTGCAACTCCCCTTGCATAGGGGTGAGAATATCCTAGGAAAATATGTTTAATATACTCCGTAATAGAGTTGGGATCTCGAAGACAAATACGGGGTATGCGTACCGTGGATGGAAATTTGGCGTCGAGTTCTAATCAAAATGACCCCTCAGATTTCAACGTATTAGATTCAAACCGAGCAGATTTTGTTAACAAATAACACGAGTCTCAAAAGTCTGTGACTATCAGGGACTAGACGGCGAGCATTGACGGTTGAGCTTGATGGCAGGGTTGGACAACATGATCCTCATTGCTATCTCCATTTCGTTTCCAACCGGACTCGACGAATCCGATCTAAAATCGACGGTCCAATAGTCGACAAAACTCCTGAATCTGAGCTGGAGCAGGAGAAGATCTAGACCCTCATCTGGTCTAGTGAGAGCAGCACAGCCACAACGGCGCGCTCTAAACGAGAAGTGGTCAACGCCGAGACCCAGGAGTTCATTGTTCAGAGCCCGTACCACGTCCAAAAGTGACGGACGCGCCCTTGCTTGGTGTGACCTCGAACTTGGCCTATCTTAGAAGGGCAATCAGCGTCACGGTTTCATCGAAGACTCTCCTCATGAATTTCAGAGTCGCAGCGAGACACAGGAGTACAAGAGCTGACGAACCTTGAGGATCGGCGTTGGTCCCCACTTTGGAGATGACAGGGGAATTCTAATAAGTTCTTAGTTCGGGTGCTCCGTGAAGGAACGAATAAAGGAGACTGCGGCAAATTATTTAATTTTTCTTTCTTGATTAAGGACGATCAGGACCGTGCTCCTGCCGTCACGTGGGCTGTCATACGGAGGTTTAAATGCTTGGGGAAGTACCTCCTCGCCGTCGTGCTTTCTCTTCTCTTCCTTTCGTCTCCCATCCTCATCCTGATCATTCTACTCTGCATTCCCTTCTTGACCATATATATCATTCAGATCTCCATCTCCCTTCGACAAAATGCCCGGTGTTCGTAAGTATCCATTCTATACACATTCACATGGCTCTCTAGATTCCTAATCGATATCTGCAGCGCCTAATGCGCTTCGGCAGCTGAAGCAGGGTCTCAAGTCCCTGTTCAAGAGGAAGAAGAAGAACCCCCAGAACAAACCCGAAGGAGACAAACCCGCCGATAAACCCGCGGAGGGCGCTGCTGCGCCGCCAGCTGAAGCCAAGCCTGACGAGTCCGCTCCGACTACAGACCCCAAGACAGGTATGTCTACTAACCAAAACATCCAATCCAGCCAGAAGATTGACAGTCCAAAAGAAGCACCCGCTACGGACAAGCCCGCTGAGAACGCAACTGCGGAGTCCTCCCAAACGAAGCCAGAGAATCCTGAAGCTGCTCCGGCTCCCGAGGCCAAGCCAGAAGCTCCGGCCGGCGAAACAAAGACGGATGGTGCTGCGGAGGCAAAGGCCAACACGGCCGCCCCAGCTGAGGTTCCAGCTGCGGCCGAAAAGGAGACGAAGCGTAAGCTCGGCCTGTCCTCTCCCAGCAAATGATGGTGCTAACAGGGACCATGCAGCTTAAGAGGCCAAATAATTGCCTAGACCCTCCATTTTCGCTTTCTGATAAGACTGGTGCGGCTGTTCAGTCAGTCATGCAATTGCTGCCTGTCCAGCATCGATTTCCTGTGTTTTTTTCTGCCCTGTGTTTCAGTCCTGCATACCCATACCCAGGCATCAAGTGCCGATCGAGTCTTGAGACTGTGGTTTTGATTGCTGTTCATTCTATTCTCATAATACCCTGCATTGCGTTTATTGGTTATTGTTTTATGTTATATAAGTTGCATCCCTTCTTGCAGGCGAACTTTTTCGCTTGTATAATCAGCGTGTCGAAGCTTTGAATCAAATTGCATTACAGCAAATCTTTATCAAGACAACCTATAGACACTTCTTCGCGAGAATAATATCAAATTAAATCTAGCAATGCGATGTGAGCATGGGTATCATCAACTAGGCACAGCCCAAAAGGAACGCAAACCACCGAGGACCTAATTGTCTTCTTCCTGCGAGGATACGTCTTCGTCCATCTCAACGGGTAGAGGCTGGCCTGTGGCCGCCGCCGTCGCAGCTTTGATTTCTCTGGCTTTCTGTCTCCTTTTGATCTTCCTCTCGCGGTTCTTGCGGTTCCGTTTTTCCGCCTCTGATTCCTTCGCCTGCTCCGCGGCCTTGACGCGCTTGCGCAGCTGTAGACGCCGCTTCTTACCCGGCTTCTTGTGGGATTTGGGTGTCTTGGTATCGCTTTCCGCGTTGTATGCGATAATGTTGGCATCGTTCGACTCCTTCGGGAGTTTCGTATGCTGTCTGTTCAAGCGAATGACTCGCCATGGCAGATGACATCCAGGCTGAAGAAAGAACAATAATCATTAGCCACACTGCCAAAACCCCTTAAGCTGACACAAATGCCCCGGGGGGAAAGACTCAACTCACCCATGAAACCCGAGCCCACGCCAACATATCATCCCCGGACACCGCCACATCGGCAAACTGCTTCTTCCTCGCGTCCAACTGCGGGTCCTCGTCCACCTTCAAGCCCGACAACGTCGGCGTCGAGAAATAGTACCCCCATCCCCGAAACGGATTCACGAAGCGCCCCTCCCCGGTCTCCGGAGTCGGAGACCGCAGCCTGATGCGCAGTTTCTGAGCCCCGGGGGCTTTATCGTCGTTTCCATCGGCGGCACCGTTGGTCGTTTCCGCTTGCGCTTGCGTTTTAGGCGCTGCCGGCGCGCTGAACAGTCGGAACTCGAACTCTTGTTCTTCCTCCTCCCCTGCTTCTCCTTCTCCTTTGCTCAGGACGCCTTCTTGGTTGGGATGGGTGTCTTGTCCGGTGGGCTCTGGTTGGTCTGCGATGAACGTGTCAAGGTTTAGCAGTTCGGCGAGACGTTGCTGCGCGTCGGGATTCGCGGACTCTGGTTGCGGGGAGGGCGATCGGGAGGTTGACGAGGCGCGGGAGAGGATGTCTTCGCGACGAACGCTGGAATTGAGAGAATTGAATTAATGCGGTTTCTGTATTGATTGGGATATGGGGTTGGTAACAAGAGAGGGATGGATGGCATTCCGATGGATCGGGTATGCGAACGTACCGTTTTGCGTTCGGGAGATCGAACATGATCTCTGTATTGGTGTGAAAAGAATTGAGGGGATTGATGTCGACAACAATTCCGAGTCTAGGGGTTTATCTGGTGGTGCGCTGGAAGTAGAAGTTGATCTTTGGGTTGCGGTGCGGAGAAATTCCATCGGTGGGAAGTTTTCAAAGTCGGCGAGGGACCTCCGTTCGCCCTACCTAGTAACCCACCTTAGATCCTCTTAGAGAATCAATTGCCAAACCTTAAGTGTATAAGTCAACTATAAGAGAATACTGCAAATAACTAACATCATATAGCATTGAAAAACAACTCATTGAACTAATTTCGATAAAAATTATTAAATAATTGTCAATGATTATCTAGATCTTATGAGAACTACTCATCACATTCTAGGAAACATAAATCCACGGCAGTGAGTCAAGTCTATGCAATGTATTTAAGATATCTCTTTCCATAACACAATCATTTATCGACCAGCCTCCGCACGCTAGAATCGTCATCTGGCGCGCTCCGACTCCCATGGCTATCCATAATTTCCTGCGACAGAATCGTCGTGACATTAATACTCTCCGGATTATAACCGCCATCCGCTCCGTCCTTGACATCACTACGTTCATGACGCGGGTCCAGATCCTGCAACCGGTAGTCTGGCGCACCCCCAATGACAGAACTTGATGTTTGAAAGGGCATGGAATTCGTGTTTCGGTGAGTGCAAGCGTTGCGGTTTGCCGCGCTTTTGCTCCTAGTTTTGGAGCCGCTGCTGCGGGTAGAAAAGATTCGGGGAATGAGGCGCGAGACGAAGGCACGGGTTCCTGGGAGGCTGGCGCATATTATGGCGACGTTGCATTCGATCGCAGACCAGGTGGCGGCGCCGACATTGTCGTCTGGGGAGGGTTAGCGGTGAAATTTATTGGTGTATAAGGAACAGGGTTGGGGGCAGGTAGGCTTACAGGTTGGGTCTGTGGTTTCAGATATGACAAGTAAACTCTGAAGGCGAAGAATACTGGTGACCAGGACACTTTTAACCACAGTGGCAACGTTAGTTTGCACTCATATATATAAAGGAAGGCGAGAGTGCGACATACAAAGCACCGAGCGCAAAAACGGCCATGAGAGCAATCTTCTGTCGTCGTGGCAGCTGAAGGTTCTTCAAGACTGGCATCGGGTATATCAAAATAATGACGTCGGTGATAATATGGATCGCCGCATTCGAGAACCAAAGCGCCTTTTTGTCAAGGCAGTAGCCGCTTATACTATCATCCCAAAACCGGGCAACAGGAATGCAATTTAGCCATGCGCTCATGATCGTCCAAACGCCGTATAATGCCAGGAAACCGATTAGAAAGTAACAGGCAAGACGCATTCGCGGAGTCGAGAAGACCCGTTTATATTGTAGGAGTATTGAGGCTTTCGTCGTGAAAAGACTGATTTGGTAGATGGGGACTGAGACCCAGAAGAACTAGGAGATGAACGGAATAGTCAGTATTGGGGAATTTTGGCGTTATAGCTCAAGGGGATCATTGGCTCACAATCATCTGTTTGATGAACGTTTTATGAGGGACATCGACATAATGTTCTCCCATAAGATTTGCGGTTTCTAGGAGTCATCAGCATTAATAAACACACCTACGCATTCTGCAAAATTGGTCCAGCCTGGTCGTATATCAGGGCTGTCCATACCTCCAACAAAAACGCCGAAGAAAGCCCAGCTAAAGGCCTATTGACATGATGTATCAGAGAACTGCAGGGTCATTGAATAAACCGTCAGGATAGCTACCAGCGACACGAGGATTGTCCAGTCATCTGCACCCATTTGCTTCACCAGAAATGCCCTGGTATATATGCGAATGACCACGAAGAACGTGGCTAAAGACGTAAAGACTGCGCTGGTTGTGAGGGCCTGTCGACTGCGCAGTACCCCGATTGTCATTGTACCGCTTTGAAATCTGACAAAAAGGCAGGGGATGGAGAAAGAGAACGAAAAAAAAAATCTAGAGGGCAGTGGCAGTTGTTGCTAACGCATAACTAAAAGACTATCCCATGTGCTGAGAACAAGAAGAGGAAGTTCATTAGACTGTTAACTTGTAACGAGAGGTAAGAATGGAAAAGCTGTTATTAATATCGTTGGCGTCAAAAAGACCATCTGAATTAAAATATCAAAAACAAGCACGGCCAAACAGCGGGCAGGGGAGACCCCCCAAGCGGTGTTGATGATCGCCATATGATTAGCTTCCTAGATGGAAATAACCCGGAAGTCAATCCATCCCACGATGCTGGGTACGCCCTCAGAAACAGAGTTTGCTAGGAACAATAGAAGTATTCATGGCGCAAACACCTAGGATACTGGCCTATCAGAAAGTGTTTTGGTAAGCTAGGATGAAAAGAGGGCATGCAGGAATCCACACGAGACTAACTGGCGTTCACCTCCTGAGGAACCAAAAACCAATTCAGAGATACTTGGCAACATGAATAAGAACAGCCCCGGGGTATTTATGAGGAAGCGAATTGTGAAGAAGCCTACGAAGGTCCAAGACTCGGATAGAGGGATAGACGACTTGGTGGAAATTGGACGCTTAGACATCATGGAGATTGGAGTTATGCTCCTATATCTAGATCGTCCGAGTCAGGTACGCTGGAAGACCGCGAGAAGTCAAACTCTAGAATAGCCACATCGGCAGAGTTGCGCGAAGGAACAGTTGCTTTGTCTATGTGCCCAATGACAAGCGTAGGGTGGACAATAATTTCTCTGCCGCTGTGGATCGGGTGTGTCAAAAGCTCAACCCCCGGCTTGCTGGGTCTTTCGTATTGGTAAAGTTCGATGGGACGAACTTGGTGGTGACAAACCATGGTACTAGGATCGTGTTCTCGTCTTAGCGTCCCCAGGAAAGGCGCGAAGGTTCTACTCTCACAGGAACATGACACCTGTGGGGATCCCCTCGACGGTGCATGTGTGCTGGCTCCGCGGAGTACCATTGACTTCATGATTCAGGGAGATTATAGTTCATTGACCATAGCCTGATGGAACGAACCCCGGAGCAGAATGGAACTGAAGGATAAATGTATGAACGCAGGCCCGTCAAATGATCAAGAAATCAGGGCATATTGTTTTCGACCATCGTCGGTGAGCATGCCGGCAGCATTGATTCAATTGAAAGGCCGTTCTTGCAAGTTGTACTCCGTAGTGCTGTGTGGATCGACTATGGGAAAGTGGTGAATCCGTGGTACGGAGCCCGGAGGTAGTCCGCCGTCCGGTGCCAGCAGTAGCGATCGTGATTATTGATCCACGGAGATGACGGAAATTGGTAGGCCGGGCTTATCTAAAGTCTAAACTCAGCCGAGAGGACCCCATAGAGACCCACATGAGGCGAGAGGACGAGAAGGTCATCACTCATCAATCACCGCCCTGATCAAGGATCACGAACTGAGAGACTGAGAGTTGACGAGGGACAAAGAGGGACAAAGAGGGACAAAGAGAGACAAAGAAGAACCGTAGAGGAAGGAGAAGAGAATCCGAATCGGGAATGGTGCCAAGTCACGAGTCACCCAGACACGCTAAGCCCCTTCGGAGGGAATTCTGGCCTGAGGCTGCCACTTCCCCGGAGATAACCATCCACTTAACTGCTTAACTGCTTCACTTCTTCATCAGTTCACTACTTCACAAACCACTGAATCTACGATTCATGATGCCTTTTTTGAATACTCCGTAGACTATTGTCTCCTACTCTCTCTCTTTCAAACTGGCGTACTTCCGGAGGAATTGCAAATTGCACGATGCACTGCAGTCCACGAGACCAAAGGGAGTCAGCAGCAGCAGGCTCCTTCCTGACTCCTTCCTGTCTCGTTGTCGGTTGTTTCTGTGCTCTTCTACCGGCGTTGATATTTCCTCCGACCGGCAAGATTGGATGACAAAAAGAGCAACCAACACAGACGATGGACGCCTTGTTTTAAGGACGACTTTGCCTCTGTTATTATTAATTTATCGCCGCCCTAACTAGTTACTGATTACTGGCGGCTTGGCCTTAAGTCCGTCACTAAACCCCGCCTTTCTGCGAGTCCGGTCCGATCGCATGGACATTGGGGGCCTTCAAAACAGGTTGGTTTTCCGGACGAGCCCCTCGGCTTTTAAGACTTCTCTCCTGATGGTTCATTCAAAGTTCCAGCATTTAAAACCGCCATGTAACGCCGTGAGACTCGAATGTCGCTTCGTCTATAGCTATGACGGATCTCCGCGGCCATGCCGAGGTCGCTCAGGGCCGCCACCACACTCCTAGTTCTGCAACGCCGCAGGTTCGCCTCTCTTGCGAAACGTGTCGGCGGCGCAAAATCAAGTGCGACAAGCTCGATCCCTGCTCCAATTGCGAGCGCATGCGCCTCACTTGCGTCCCTGTAGAACGAGCGCGGCTCCCACGAGGCAGATCCGGCCGGACCGCAGCGGAAAAGCGACCAAACCACGATATACGCTTGAAGGATCGTATCTCTCGCCTCGAAGGCCTGATTCACGGAATTTCGGGCACGATTGACAAAGGAAAGACTGTCGAGAGCTTCCTATCGTCCAAAGCCTCTTGCAGTACCAGGAGTCGAGAAAGCACCGCTCAACCTCAATCACCCGGCGCGATGTCACATTTCGAAGAGACCGAGGGATCTCAGTCTCCAGCCTGCTCCTGGAGGGACATCTTTAGACGAGTAAGCTGATTCGATATGTGACCATGGTTTGTGTTAACTACAACTCAGAAGCACGATGCGCGTGGTGCATTCAGGCGAAATTCTCCAAATCCGAACTGTGACAATCGGATCATGCGCTACCAACGGCTTCTCTTCATGTCTAAAGGTTCCGAGTGCCAGAAAGGCTTGACTGGAAGAGGCCAGTCTCTGAGCAGAATCACGGAACAAAAACTCTGCCAAATTTATTTGCAGAGAGTTGATCCCTTCTTCAAAATTCTTCACAGACCCTCCCTGAGTGCCTTTCTTATCGACAGAAAACCTTACCAGAATTACGCACCACAGAGCTTGGCTCCTAAGGCATTGAAGTACGCCGTCTGTTTCGCGGCAATCTGCAGCCTCGATGAGAGGGAGTATGAGCACATATTCAAGACCAATAAAACCCTCATGGTGGAGCGTTTTCAGAAAGAGGCAGAATCAGTGCTAGTAGAAGCCGATTATTTAACGACTCATGACTTGACTGTATTACAGGCCTTCGTTCTTTTCCTCGTTCGTGTACCTGATATAGACTCGGGCGAAAAGCTACCACTAACATACGAAACCAGTTATCTTCTCGATCTCAGGACCAGAGTCGGCGCATCTGGACTATGTTGAGCATCGCACTTCGTATAGCCCAGGCCCTTTACCTGCACAGGACAGATCCACCTTTTCATGTGAGGCCGTTCGAAAGAGAGATGCGCAGACGCCTATGGACCGCTATCGGGTTCCTCGACATTCAAGCTTCGACAGATCGTGCATCCGAACCCATGATGCAAGTGGGCTGGTTACAATCCCATCCCCCTTCCAACGTCAACGACCATGACATCGGCTTCGAAATGGATACCCCCGTACAAGGATCCACCGGTTTCACAGACATGACGTTTACCATGATCATCCTGAAAGCGCAATGTGTCTCACGGATTCTCAACTTCCCCAGTGCCGCCTCAGCGAGCGTCGAACCCATCAGCTCTCGTCAGCAGCTAGTCCTAGACTTCCAGCACACGGCATCAACCCTCCTTCAACATGCCCAACCCAACACCATCGCGTTCCACTGGTTCGCCAGCAAAGTCGCCGAATGCATCAACGCGTGCATGCAACTAGTCGTTCTGCGTCCTCTCCAACAGCACCCCAAATACCTCCCTCGTCGAGTTCATGGCGACCGTCTCCTCCAACTCTCCATCGATGTTCTCTTGAGGAACCAAGAAATCTGCAATAACCCTCGCACGCTCCCCTGGCGTTGGATTGAATATACCTTCGTCCCGTGGCATGCCCTCGCCGTCGCTGCTTCCGAACTCTGTGTCTGCGAAGATCCCGCCCTGATGGCCAGATGCTGGGCCCCTGTCGAGCAAGCAAATGAGCGACTGGGCCGTCTAGTCGCGGATACAGCTAAGGGTCGATATTGGAAACCCATAGAAAACATCATAGCTCAGGCACGACTAAGAAAAGAGCAACTACTGCTGCCGCAGCATTCAGTCCACTCACCACCTCCCCTCCACGACGACCCCTCGTGTCAACCCACAACCTCTCAATCAGCTTCAGAACCCCCGCACTACTTCACGCAGCCTATTTCCCAAGATTATGCAAGCAACGCGGCTATTTCTCCCCTCGATACAACCGAACTAGGCCCCTGGCCCAGCGTCTGGGATGCCGTTGACTGGACCACCCCGCTCGGAGAGAATGAGTTGTCGTGGTTGAATTACGAGAATTTCCTCGAGGACTTGCGCGGAATCGCTGACTATCCACCACTCAGTGATCATTGACATTTTTGATAGTAATTTAACCGGAGCCAAGTGGACGCAGAGACTAGCGTTGCATTCATTCACTGGATTTGAATAGCGTTGAACTTTTTGTTTCGTTTTACTATTTAACCTATTTGATATTTAATCTAAGAAGCAACAAACATCGACGCTTCACGTACAATATAGGAGCCAGGTAGTTTCGGGGCGACAATACAGCAATCCTATCCCTTTTCCGTTTCATATTGGAATAAAGACCTCGGTATTCCGTTACAACTAATAAAAGTTTCGATCAATCAATCGTATAATACACTTACTCGTCAAGGATCTAAAGGACGGAAAAGGAGAAAAAGAAAAGCCACTAAACCACATGGCATACCTAACGAACCACAACATCAAAGGAAGAACGTTAAAGAAAGATTGTAGAACAAGACCAGAGCACCGTTTCTACCTCGTTAGAAAAGAGTAAAAAAAAGCCAGACGCCATTTGATTCAGTCAGGCCGCCCGTGAGATGCCCCCCCCGGCCCCCAAAGCCCTTGTAACTAAACTAGATTCTTTTTCGAGTCCCTGGAGAGAAGAAGAGAAGAGACGAAGCGAACTCATCGGAATCCAATCGCGAAGGAAAGAAGTAAAACAAGGAAGTAAGGGAAGACAAGATCATGTGGAGTTAAAAGATAATATAGAGATAGAGATGGAGGAAAAGTTTAAATGAAAAACGGGGTATTTGTACATACAACATTTAGTAGGGAAAACGAAAAAAGGGGAAGAGAGAAAAAAGGCCAAAACAGGGAGGATGGTAGAAAGGAAGTTTGTCGGAATATAAGAATCGGCCATCACATGGACATTTTCCATTGAATGATTTTAGGGTTTTGTTTTTTTAGTAGTAGTCCTCTCTCTCTATTATCATGATGAGTTCGGTGAGTTCCTTGCGTAGTGATCGATTACGGTCCCATATCTCGACAATCTTAGGGCGGTTGCTGAGGAATACGGCCTTCTTCCATGGAAGACCATCGAGCCCGGGAGCGATGCCACTTGGGAGATTCCTGGCAAGATTGCGCAGCACAAGAGCAGCTTTGTAAGCCACACCGATGGGTTCGCCTCGTTCGTTTATTGGGGTGTCCACGTAGAACCATTTGCGTACAATACGCTCCTGGAGCACGGCACGTTTAGAGATCGGAGCTTCGGCATCTGTGAGTCGCTCTTCAGGCAGATGTGACGACACGTGACCGGCAACCATAGCGGTATTATCGCTGGGACCGGACGAATGGAATTTGGTACAGTTATCCCATTGACAGGTATGAATGGGAGATTCGGCCTTGTCCAGGTTGTAATGACCGGATGTTTCAGCGGGCTTGAGATTCATATGATCTCCGAAGATGTGGTTGCGCAGGTCTGTCGGGGTTGCAAAGACACGTTGGCAGTGTTTCATTTGCTTAGAAGCGTCCGCCCATTTGCAGTAGATGTAGGGAAATCCTTGGAAGGTATAGGCGGTCTCTAGAGGGCGAATGCCTTTGATGATGAATCGGGTTGTGGCGCCAGGCCCATTGATGACCTGGGCCTGGGCATTGGTGAAGGTCGTGCTGACATTCTTGATGAACTCGGCTGCTGGAAGAACACCGCCGCCAGGGACACGAGGGTCTGCAAAACGGCTCTGATAGGCTTGCCACAACGCGATCTGGGTGATCTCACAGTCCGCGTCCTCAACAAAACAGCAACGCAGCCAACGGGAGCTACGCTCCGGTTCCGACAACTCCATTAGTTCTTTCAGGAGCTCGGGAGGTACCCGGGGGATTTCCGTAGGTGGCGGAGCCACTTTTTCTTCTTGTAGAACCGTTTCTTTCTTGCTGGGTCGCCCGTCATGCGTCAGTAGCGCGATCATCCGTGGTACGAAAATAACGGAGAGATTGAAGACATCCATCATGTGCTCGATGTTCTCACGTGAAAGCGTGTATTGGTACCAGAAATCGAGTGCACCGCTCAGGATGTCTCGGTCCGCATCAAGAAGCGTATGGAAGTAGAGCTGTTGCAATGTCGGTTTTGATATACGCTCTAGTGCTCGGTTTGCTTCCGGTTCATCTAGCTCAGTTGAAAAATGGGTCAAGGCCCAAAGTGCGCGGACAACATGAGCCCGATCTGAGGACTCAAGACAGTTAACAAGGGAGATCCAGAGCGGGTCCTCTGGATCCGTCCTCATGAACTTGGTCACTTCTTCCGCAATATCCAAGGCATCGTTTTTTATCTCGTTGAGCCGGGGCTGGTTGGGGAGGTTGATCAGGATAACCAAGAAGTCTCTGAGCAGCCCTTTAGCATAGCGTGATACGTAGAATGCGTTCTCTTTCAGTAGGACCATATTTCTCAAGACTAGGGTGGCTTCTTTGACGTTACGCAGACGGTGGTTGAATTCGTATGTCTCGAGCGTGTCACTAGGCAGCGTGACTGGGATATTCTTGATTTTTTCCAGAATGTCTCGTGTGCCATGGAGCGAATTCAACACATTGACACGGTCCGTGGGTTGCCGAAAGTCATACTGCAATTCCCACTTGACGCCTGTGCAGATGACCGAGACATCGATCGCCTTTTCCATCAACGTCTCTGCAAGCAATGGGAAACCTTCGAATTTGAACTTGTCCCACCGCTGGTTGGATATTTGAACGAGATGGTAGAGCGCAAAATCGACTTCATCCGATATCCCAGACTGAAGACCGTAATGTGCCCGTTTGTAGATGTGATCAGCTGCGAGTATGGTCAGTCATGTTGAACGATCTCAAGTAAAAACTGGACGGTCGCAACAGCAGGAAACGTACATTTAGGAACCTCTAGGTATCTCAGCGGGAAATACGGATCGTAGAAATCCGGTTGCTTGGCTACCTTCCCTCCTTCATGTACGCTGAGAAACAAGCCGGGTCTGTTGCCTGGAGTTGCTACCTCACGCGTAGACATAGGAGCTTGTCGCTGTTCCTTTCCATCCCACATATCAATGCTTGGTTGAGGACTATTCGGGTTGAGAGGGGTGGTCGGATGTGTTTGACTCGCCGACGGCGGCTGTGGTGACTGATTCGCGTTAATATGGGACCGCCTCACAGGCGCAGTATCTGGGATAAAGGGCTGGTTTGCTTTAGGAGCTTGCCGCAAGCCCTCTGTTAATGGTCAACAGTCAGCGGAATGTTTGATTGCCCAAGCTACACCCTTCCGAGGGAGGCGTGGGAGTAACACATACGGCGCAAAGACGTGCGTGGAGTATTGGCGCTCATCTTGAAGAAGCCCAGGGGATTCGGAGATTTCTACTTCGCACGTTTCTATATCCAGGACTATTTCAATCTCCTCGCACACTCTGAAAACCCAGAGAAGCTCCAAACTGAATCGCTTATCCAGAGTCCTAGTAGGCAACACTCCACCCAGGCTGAACCAAAGGATCTGATCGTTTGCGGAAATTATTCGATCAAATCAACCGTGTCGATGTAGAGCTGCGATGAAGCCACTGTCGCGTTTCCTGATGATTTATTTTCCGTCGCTTTTGTTCCTGGCAAAGTTCCACGATCCGAACAAGGGAGGGATAATGGCGTTCAACGACGACTGGAGATTTTTCGGGAGTGAAGGGATCTAGTTTCGCGACAGACTAGGATGCGAGAGCGCGTTTTGAGAGATGTCGGGAACCGGTCTGTCGAAGAAAAAGGATGCGACTGCAACAGGGAAGGCACTAGAACCGAGAGGGCGACCGCGAGTCTTTTTTGGCGCAAGCAATGGAGGTGATCGGCAACGAACGAAGATTGGAAGCGAGGGTCAATGCCTTGGTGGTGGCCCTTGGGGGCTCTGTGAACAGAAGCTGGTCCTGCGATTCGTCTGGCCTTCGCAGGCAAAAGTTCCGCGCATCTGCGAAGGGCCTCAGGCGCGTCTTCGGACTAATGGTCATTCCGCATTCCGGTCCTTCCGATCTGCTGAGTCATCCCTGTGTTGTTGCCTTGAGAATCAGGCAACAATCTCCGCCCACGAACAAACACCGGCAAGGGAATGTCGGAGATTCTACATTCTTTCTGTCTTCCACTCACACAGCCCGCCATGTGTGGAGATATCGAAATCGTGATCGCCAGTCTCACCGAAGATCACGATGCATTCATTAGCTGCCACAGGCGAATATGCAGTGGCTTCGGGTAGTGTTCATCATATACTTCATATATCCAGTCTGCTTGGAAACAGCAGTTACCTATTGGTCATTACTCACCTCTGGAGAACTTTGGCTCAAAATCAAACCTAACGTCAGATCTGTGACCAAAAGCCTGTCTCCTTTCCCCTACGGAGATTACGGCGATCTTGGCTCGCAAGTCTTGAACAAAGTAAGCTAGGTCGGATTTCGGATGCAGACTCCGGTCCCTTCTACACTCCGGTCTAAATCTGGGTCATATCCACAGACTCCCTAGTGATATTAGGAAAATCAGATTAAGTCCGGAGTTCGGAGCCAGATTCCGCTTCTTTCTATGCCCACGGGCCAGACTTTGAACACAGATGCAATCCATTTGTAATCATTGGTTAATATCTGGCAGTTGTATATATTTCTCGACATCCGGTAATCATGAACGACTCATCTAAGCAATATCATTCGTGCTCCTGTCACAGACCTTGAAAACAAACTGCTGTATTGCAATGACCGAGATAAACTCACATAGCGTTGCTACAGAGCACCCAGCGCAGAAGCCAGATAGCTCCGAGAACATTAGCTTCAGCGATGATGCGGACCCCAAGTACGAGTATCCCACGGGGCTCTCGGTGAGCTTCATCCTCACTTCAGTAACTTTGGCCTATTTTTTGTTTTTCCTTGACCTCGCTGTCATTTCCACGGCTACCCCGGCGATTACATCTGAATTCGACTCATTGGTGGACGTCGGTTGGTAAGTACACGGCCATACCTCTTAACCAGCGCTCCCAGCCTTTTGTGCAATATGCTGATCTATGCCGTCCAGGTATGGAGGCGCCTATCAACTTGGAAGTGCCGCGTTCCAGCCTCTAAGCGGTAAGATCTATAGCCAATTTTCCATAAAGGTATGCCCTCGTCTACTGTTCACGTTGTGCGCCCGCAAATAAAACTCAATTCTGATGAGGTTTTTCTATGCAGTGGACCTTTCTTGTATTCTTTGTTATTTTTGAGATTGGATCTGCTATATGTGGAGCGGCCCAGTCGTCGCCCATGTTCATCGTTGGCCGAGTCATCGCGGGCGTAGGATCCGCTGGAGTGGCCAACGGTGCAGTGACAACCATTTCCACCGTGCTCCCAACACGAAAGCAGGCGCTGTTCATGGGTCTTAATATGGGCATGGGCCAGTTAGGTCTCGCGACAGGGCCCATTATTGGAGGAGCTTTTACCACAAACGTCTCCTGGCGGTGGTGTACGTCAATGCGTCTCTTGTGCTTTGCGAGTTTGCAAATACTAACCTTTCCTACATCAGGCTTTTACATCAACCTCCCATTAGGTGTTATTATAGGCGGGTTTCTTCTTCTAAACAAGATACCCGAACCAAAACCTAAGAGTCCACCCCTCGAGATACTTGGAACAGCTATCCAGTCCCTGGACCTCCCAGGGTTCATGCTCATTTGCCCCGCGGTTGTCATGTTCCTCTTGGGACTCCAGTTTGGTGGTAACCAGCACCCTTGGAATAGTTCAGTTGTGATTGGCTTGCTGGTTGGCTCTGCGTTTACCTTTGGTCTCTTCTTGGCCTGGGAATATCGTCAGGGAGACAATGCCATGGTGCCACTTGCCATGCTCAAACACCGGATCATCTCCTCGGCCGCCTTGACTATGTTCTTCAGCCTGTCCAGTGTCCTTGTGGCTGACTTCTACATTGCAATTTATTTCCAGGCGATTCACGACGACACGCCCTTAATGAGTGGAGTACACATGCTTCCAATCACGCTTGGCTTGGTCTTGTTTACCATGATCTCGGGCACCCTGAGTAAGTCTTCTCGGCGATGGGTTTGGAGGCTGAACTAATTCTCACCGATAACCCTATAGTCTCCGTTTTAGGCTACTATCTCCCATTTCTTCTTGCGGGGGGCGCGATATCAGCTGTTGGCTACGGGCTTATGTCGACACTGAGTCCGACGACCCCGGTTGCAAAATGGATTGGCTACCAGATCTTATACGGCGTTGCAAGCGGCTGCACAACGGCGGCTGTAAGTTCAATACTTGTTTGGCCCGCTAGAAATTCGATCTTGGTCCACTGATGCGTGTTTCCACATCATCTAGCCCTACGTCGCTATACAAAGTCTTGTACCTCCGGAGCAGATATCTCTCGCCATGGCAATTATCATATTCTGGCAAAACATCGGGGCCTCGACATCTCTGATCGCGGCCAACGCAATTTTCAGTAACAGCCTTCGAAAACAGCTTCAGCAGCGCGCCGCACAAATAGGCTTCTCGCCAGATGTTATCGTTGATGCTGGGGTCCGCTCCATCCGTGACCTGGTGTCTGGCTCCCAGCTAACAGCCGTGCTTGCGGCCTACGCGAAAAGCATCGACCACGTCATGTATCTTGGTATTGCAGTTGGCCTTGCCGTCTTGGTCGTTTCTCCAGGACTTGGATGGAGGGATATCCGAAAGGTCAAAGATCTTCAAGTTATTACCAACGAGCCTCCCAAGAGAGCCGAGCAGGATGTGGCAAGGGACAAGACAGTGGTGGGCTACAAATAAGGCCAGGGGCCTAAAAATGAATTTGAGATGTATCTGGCCACCCTTCCTTATTTGATACTGTTGGAACCATTATTCAGCTGTGTGGCAGAAAAATACCGCTACACTAAAAAGGGTCAACCCTTAGTAGTAAGGGTTTTTCTAGTGTCTATACGCGGCGACAGGCAGCTATTATATCTTCAACGAAGCGAGTAGTTTAGAATGACACTTCACTTTTACCCACCGAGCATATACCTACATTCAGTTGAATCGATAGGATATCTGCTTAGGGCAATGACCAAGTCAACCGACAATAACCCAGGGTTTGACGAAGAACCACAACCGTTTCACAGCTTTGAGGATGATTAGGTTTCACCCATTTTGTGGTGAGTGAGATACTTGGTCGCAGTAACTGAATTTCCATGTACAGGGAGGGTATACTGTTGTTACGATGTACTAAACTGCTTCCTTGGACTCTTAAGAACTAGTGACACTATTAAAATAGTTATGAAATCTACAAGGCTTCGACGTAGAAGCGTCCACGTTGATAGTTCTCAACGTAGAAGCATCAACGCTGACGGGTTTTCAATGTAGAAAGATCGGCATTGACAGGGTCTCGACATAGGAGCGCGGCAACTCAGTCAATAACCATAATATTAAGTATCAGCTGTAGATCTCGCGTATCTTTCAATCAGATATATACAACCGTAGACATACGGCCCTCTGTCGACTGGTTGCCAACTTGCCAAGGCACTAAATCCAGTCCATCTCAGCCTCGTTGCCACTCGCTCTCTCTCTCTCTTCCATCCTTCCGCCGCCATTTGATCCAAATAACCTAAACTGAGTCTATATAGCATGCAATAATTTTATCTCTTTTATAGAACCAACCAATCGTAATCACCTGACCTTACATGGCTCCGAGAAGTTCCCCGCCTCCCAGGCTCCTCAAGACCAGGACAGGATGCACAACGTGCAAGTAAGTACAGTATCAACATATCTCTCCATGAAACCTAACTTAACACCAACTTACTTACTATCCTCCAGAATCCGCAAGCTCAAATGTGATGAAACCCAACCACAATGCCGCCGCTGCCAACACGCCGGCTGGACATGTCCAGGCTACAACAACAACAGCCGACCTATGCCACGATCCCACCACTCTCTCACAAGCACATGTCCAACGCCCAATAATCCAGCCCAGCAATCGCTCTCCGACACCACGACACGGCACACATGGCGCGAGCGTCGCGCCTTCGAATACTACTTCCGACACTTCAGCCTCGTCATCGCAGGCTTCCCCCTGGACAACCGCTTCTGGCACGGCATCGTGCTACAACTATGTCGCTCCGAGCCTGCCGTCTGGGACGCTATCATCGCGGTCAGCGCTTTATACGAGAGCCCGGATCATCCAGTCGAGGGCGTGGGCGCGGCCATGGTGCGACCGGCCATGACGAAGAGCGTGGCGAGACACCACCGCGAGCCGATGGGCTGGTATTTCCGATCGATGGCGGGGATGAAGGATCGGATTGGGCGGAATCGAGCCAGTGCATTCCTGTGTCTGGTTACTTGTGTGCTGTATCTATGTTTGGAGAATATGCAGGGCCATGCGGTGGAGGCGTTGCAGTTGTTTGAGCAGGGGGTGAGGTTGCTTGAGCTTGTGCTTGTAAAGGGGAACGGGGGGATGTTAAGGAAAGGGTCTTATGAGAGGACGGTGGTTGAGGAGGTGGTTGGGCCGATTTTTGGTCGACTTGGGGTGAGTGCGCTGGTTTCGACGGGATATCCTTGTCCTGTGCAAGACTGGTGGGATAGGAAGGATGTCCTCTGTGTTCGCAGCATGGAGGAGTTGCGAGATACGATGGTTTCGTTGAATGCAGAGGCGATTATCCTCGCGAAGGCAGCCTATGGATACTTCCATGCTGGCATGGAGGAGAAGCCTGAGCACCTCCAGGCGCTCTTCGCTCAGCAACACGCCTTGGGTATGAAACTACAAGGATGGAGAACCGTGTTTACGACGCTGCAGGACAAACACCCACAAACCAATCCTACTGATACTACAGCCTCAGTCCTTCTAACCTTCCACATCGCCGCATCCATCATGGTCTCAACTTGCCTCTCTCAACGCCAGCTTCCGTTCGACAACCACATAGACCAGTTCCGGGATCTAATTGAACATGCTAGGACAGTACTACTGTCGCCTACATCTCATGTCCTACCGGGCAGTCGTCTCCCATTTACATTCGAAACAGGCCCGGGCCTCCCTTTATACTACGCGGCAGTCAAATGCCGGGACGCGAGTCTTCGACGAGAAGCACTTTCCCTGCTCAAGCAAGCAGCGCAAGTTCAGGCCTTCTTCAACTGTTCTTCCTGGATTCGACTAGCCGAGATGGCTATTCAGTTAGAAGAGGGGGATGTGAAAGGGTTACAGCTAAAGATCCAAACACAGTCTTACACCGGCCCCATCGACCCTGCCGTCGCTTTGATACATGAAAGCCACAAGTACCAGGAATGGTTAGTCTTCGGCAAGCTAGATCATAAACAACCCGTTGTCCACGAAGTGGCAAGGATAGCTGGTATCAATGCAGAGCGCTTTTTCATGATTCTGCAGGAGCCGGAGTCCCGACGCATACCTGAAGAGCAACGCCTGAATGATATTGGCGTCACGACAGCATACCGGTTCCAGGGAGATGCTCTCAACAAGTATGGTGCGGGAATAGAGCATCTACTTCAGCACAAAACATGCGAAGAAGTCTTCGTCCAGTTTACTCGCAGCAGGCTAGACCCTACCAGTGGGGAGTGGGAACAGGATAGATTTTTCCTGTCTGCGGACTAGAATAGATAGTGCTGACCAACTGGAATTAATCTAAACATGCAGGTCGAATACTAGCCCGCTTACTACCTTACCCATATGGATCTATAAGACCAACAGAACACTACGCTCTCATTGGCTGCGTCGGACTATGACGTCAGGGAGTGTGATACTCGAAATAAACAGTCACTTTAGGAGTTGCAGAGTAAGCCTCAGTATCTATTCAATCGAGTGAGAAAGATGGAGTCAGGGGTAAGAGGGGGCAGTATTGAGAGCGGAGAGTAGTATAAGTACCGGCTTAGTTATTCTACTTCGAATTCCTGGAAGATTCCCGTGTATATTATTTTACACCTCAGTGATATATACTTTTCTCTGCATTTGTTATCGACCTTCAAAGTACGAGGTCAATTCATTGTATAATATCCACTGCTGATATTCCACTCACTTTGTAAGTTGAGGTTTCCTGATCTTTGAAAGAAAAGAAGAAAAAAACACAAACACATCTAGCAACCAACACTTACCTACATAGTTCACTATCCCTAATCTCAACACCAAGGAACCAGTCAGGCTCATACTCCCAAAACAAAGAGAGAGAGAAAAAAACAAAAATGCCTAACGTCAACGGCAGCCTCTTCATCGGCCTCATCATCCTGGCCAGCTGTCTCTGCTTCCTCATCTACGGCGGGATCCGACAGATGCGAGAAGACCACACACGCCCACGGATACGCGATGTATCACACGAGCAGGTGAATTATATGTGGAATGTAAGGCAGCGGACGCTGTATCGGATTAGAGTTGGTTTGGGGTTTGGAAGGGGAGGGGGAGGGAGGTATTTTGTGGAGGAGGGGGCGGAGGGCGTATAATTATTTACTTCTACTGCCTGGTCTTTTCAAGACGGACACTGTCCATTGATTTATCGAATATGTATAAATAAGAAATGAGAAGAGCCTTGTCTATGTACATTCAATCCCACCGAGTTGTCTACGTCCTAGACCCTCCGGCGTTACTCATCGCCTCCTTAAACGCCTCTTCCACCAACCAGGTACAAACATCTTGCACATCATTGCCCCCACGCCAGCTCCCAAGGACGACGCCGTGGTCGGCCAGGATATCATGGGCTCGTTCCCAGCGTCGACGCCACATTTCCTCGCGGCGGTTGGGCAACGGACCGACTGCGGAGCTAGGGTAGGCGAGACCGGACTGCGAGTCAGAGTCTTGGTCGCTGCCGTTGCGAAGGCTCGAGTTGGAGGGCGTGGTTTGGAGGAGATTTGATGGCGAAGGAGCCCAGGGGAGGCGTTCGGATGCGTATTGTAGCGCTGCAGAGGCGGCAGTGGCAGCAGCAGCAGGATATGATTGAGGTGGCCTCTGCGGCGGAGGTCTGGGAGAGCTGGTTTGCGTGGAGCTGACGCTTGCATCGGATGTGGAGGCCCCGGTGTTGCTTCGACGAGGCGGTGGAAGGATACTTAAGTCGATTCTGGTAGTCATAAATCTCGCTCGTCGCCCGGCAAGGCAGCAGAAAGAGGGCATCTTAGTGTATTATCACGGCTATTCCGCTACACCCATGCGGCTTGGTTGGGGACAGGCTAATGGCATTGAGTGCGAATGGGCTCTTTTCCTCTTTCCCAATACTATTCCCTAAGCACAAATCTCAGACTTCGTATACATTATTCCGTAGCAAAGAAATAGCTCCGCAGTCTACCAACCTGAATGGGGATCCATTGGGCCATTATTCCCGTCATCCGACATTTGGTGTTCAAGTTGTGGAAGTTCATAGAATCCTAGAGAAACACAGTCGGTGGTAATGTATCCAGCTATAAATTCATTCTTTATCCCAGTCCCTCCTTTCGCAAAGAGATCAGAAAATATACGAGAGCGAGAGGCGAAGTTATATAGTATACGCCCTATCTCAAAAGATTCATTGACTAGCAGAGAAACACAAAAGTCTCTGAGAATCGAAAATGAAGATTAGCACCCGCCCCGAGTTACACCAATGGCAGTAATGACCGGCCGGTACTCGGCGGTAGCCTTAATATTGGCGGCGTCTCAACGTAGAAGCGTCAACGTTGACGGGTTTTCAATGTAGAAAGGTCAGCATTGACAGGGTCTCGACATAGAAGCGCCAACGTTGGTAGTTCTCAACGTATAAGCGCCGACGCTAACAACTTCCACACATGGAGGCCCAATGCGCCCTGATTCTCAGTACCATAGTGAACGATAAATAGGAAATATATATACTCCTGATTAATAACTTTAATGGGTAAATTATTTGACAGAATGTTGGCCGTCTCTCTAGGCGTAATTGCTAGTAATGTACACTTAGGAATATCGAATGATGAAGGTCTGGTTCTTTCAATCTAGCCTAAAAAGGCAGCTAGAAGAGACATAACTTTTGAACCATGGAAATAACAGAAAAATCTGTATAATCCTCGGGGATCGGTAGTTACCAATACCGACATCCGGAATAGGAAGGTCTCCGGGCGCGAACTACATTGCCGGAAGGCCACTAAAAGTATTGGATGGGTGTAAAATAGAGGGGTGCTGGACAGGAGGGCGGTCAAGCGGCGGCTCGCCGCCCAAAGTTACGGGTGGAAAGGCAGCCGTTTCTGGCGTCAAAAGTGGTCATTTTCGACGTCGATTCCGCAGGTCCTCGTATTCTAGTTGTAATTAGGGAGAAGTAGGCCTGTGCAGCCTTCAGAATAGATCTTACGCCAGCATTCTAGTCTTGGGTACTACTTTCCCAGAATAATGATCAGTTCTTTCCATTGAGCCAGAAAATTACTGCATGCAAACAGCATATTTTCTGATAAAGTAAGCAAATCTCAATGGCCTGAGTCGGCTGTGCTTTCACATCGCTTGGAGATCAGCCAGCCGTACCACGACTTGCGTGTTTCAAGTATAAAGCAGCACGTTAGAGAAATATCGGACTTCTAGAAGGGTAATGACAGACATACAAGAAGAGAATGGCGGCTTCTTTACAAACATCCCGGACCGTCAACCACTTTTAAGGTCAACAATTTTTCATCATCGATAGAACGCCTTGGGAATATCATTCATCTAGATATTCGAGAACGACCGCGAAAGATATTATGGTATATTAGAATGAGTAAATACAAGGATTGTCCTCCTTTTTAAGCCCGTCAAAGAGGTATCCCGCTAATTTGCCCTCTTGTCACCCCAGCTTACAGAGTTACAACAAGCTTCTTGCCCGAGACACCTTTCCTCTGGAGATCTAAAGCCTCCTGAATCTTCTCTAGCCCTTTACCCACAACATGCGGCGGAGGCGCAGGCACAAATTGACCCCGTTCCAGTGCCAGCGGCAGGAAGTCCGTGTACACGCGAGCCACGACACTCTCGGGGTCGACTAGGCCATCGACTAGGATGAATTTGGCCTCGATACCAGTCGCCAGGCGCGTGCCGGTCGATTTAATCATGCCGGCAGCCATGCCTATCAAGTGCGTGCCCTTGCCAACAAAGGAGGTGAGCTTGTCGGCGGGAATGATGGCGCCGGCCACGGCGATGCGTTTCCGGGTGAGCCCGGGATCGTGTTTCTTCATAACAGCAGTACAGGCCTTGACGGCACCTCGGCCAATAGTGTAGGCGCCCACTAGCTCGTGACCCTTGAGTACTCCTAGGAGGTCCTTGACAAGCGACTTGCCTCGGTAGTCAAACACATGTGTGGCGCCGAGGCCCTTGACATAGTCAAAGTTCTTGGGGGACGAGGTAGACAGGACTTGGTAGCCTGCTGAGACAGCCAGCTGCACGGCGTTGCTCCCCACGCTCGATGCACCGCCTGTGATAATAACAGTGCGCGGCTTGCTGGACTTGCCCACGGCATCGGGGGATGCGGTCGGGGTTTGAGGCATGTCAAGGCCTAGATAGTTCGGATGGAACAGGCCGTATGCCGCAGTCCCGAGGCCCAGCCCTAAGACACAGGCCTGTTCGTCGGTGATGTGCGAGGGTGTCGGCGCTAGCATATGCTCTCGCATCACAGTGTAGAGCTGAAACCCTCCTTCTGCCGGATTATTGACTTCCTTGGCCAGCGCTGTCGCACTCCCTAGAACTCGGTCGCCTACGCGGAACCGCTCCACGTTGGGACCGACCTCGACCACTTCGCCAGCAATGTCGGTGCCGAAGATGAAGGGGTACTTGATATAACCAGCTAACGCCGGGCCGATGAACTGCAGTACCCAGTCGAACGGATTGATGGCCACAGCGGCGTTCTTTACCGTGACCTGGCCCGGGCCAGGTGACGTGTAGGGCGCGTCAGCAACCTTGAACGGTAGGGCCTTTTTGGCGGGAATCCAGGCGGCCTGATTCTTTGGAGCTGAAGCCATTGATGCGAAAAGCCGAGACTGAGGAGCGCTATAATGAGGTGGACCAGGAAATGAATTACAGCAAACAAATCGAAACGGCAACATGTAGCAGGCTTATATGGACGACCTTCATATTTATTACACTCATGTCCGCTATGTCCGTGACCGGTACCCAGGACCATGCTTTTGATCATTCCTTCTGCGATATGAAATCCCCCTAAATAAGGTGAGCGAAAACCGATGGTTATAAACGGATTTCGGGGGGCCAAAATCCGACGGCAGGTCACGGAAGGATTCCCGCCGGAGTTTCCCTCCGTTCGAAGAAACGCCTTAACAATTGACCTCTCACGCCTGCCCCCACCTACATTTCGTCAATTGAGGCAGCTGAAAAAATGGAGAGATCGAGAACGGCCCTCGGCCAGTCTAGTGCCTATGGCCACGCTTGCACGCAGTGCTACAAGGCAAAGTGCAGGTGTGTGCGGACTGCGAATGGAGATACCTGTGAAAGGTCAGCACGTAAACACAAAGCTGTCGATATATGAACCTCAGCTAATAAATTCTTCAGATGTATTCGCCTCAAGAAAACGTGTGAGCCATCAGGTTCGGCTCGTAGACGCAATGCTCAGACAACCACAAACGATGCGTCTGATACACGCATTGCTCGGCTGGAGGACAAAATGGAGAGCTTGCTGACGGCAATGAACTCTTTCATCGCCTCGCCAGGGACTTCGGGGGGTTCCATCAAAGTCACTCAACCTCTTGATAGACACAGTACCTCCTCACCCACGCCTTATCTAGATGGTACCCTAATTACTCCTACGAGCACTGTCCAGAGCTTCAGTGATGGGCCACCTCCATTCGTGCCAGATCCGAATGCCGCAGTGCCATCAAACACAGATTCATTATTTTTACCTCACAACTACCATTCATCCTTTAAGTTTCCAGGCCTCAACTACGCAGAAGAACGACTTGATTACTTCCTCTCTCGGATGCTACCGTCATTTCCTTTTATCCACCTAACCCCAGATATGACAAGCTGGTATCTGCGCCAAAACAGGCCTATCTTGTTCCATGCTATCAACACTGTCACTACCTTCTCAACGCAGGAAAGACTGGCACAAGTCGAAGAGCTGAAGCATCTCATGTTCACGTCTGCCTTGCTCAAGGTCCAGTCAAATATCGACCTGCTTCTTGGGTTACTAACTTATCTATCATGGAGTACCGATCCATTCCTTGGCCGAGCAGACCTCATGTCGCGCCTCATGATGTTGGCCATGTCATTAGTATACGATCTGCGACTGTTCAAGCCAACCTCAACAGATGTGCAGCTAATGATGACGATTACCCAGGGGCAGGAGGAAAGTAGCCAGAGCCCTGGCGATGAAACGCCGTATGATCTGCTGGAAAGACAGCGGGCTGTACTGGCGTGTTTTGTTTTGAGCTCAAAGTATGCACGGTCTTCCACAGCCTCTTTATAAAGGCCCAGGAATGCTAACATACAAATTGTCACAGTATTTCGTCACATCTTGGGCGTCAAGACGCTTTACGATGGACAGCTCAGATGGAAGAGGCACTTAAAATGATTTCACTCAGCAAATCATGTCCCACAGATGAGCTATTTGTTGCGCAAGTGCGCTTGCAACTACTAAAGCAAAAGGCGGACGATGTCCGACAGCAAGATGAGACGAATTGTGCTCTCACAGGAACGGCCCCTGTGGCGGCCTCGGCTCCTCGCTTGTTATACCTCAAAACCCTGCGAAGACAGCTGCATGAGCTGAGATCCTCATTTCGGCCAAACCTCGATCAGATAGGTAGGTCATTATTATTCTAGTGACCCAATACATTCCATCTCCACTGCGGTATAGGCTGATAGTTTCGCCCGGAGAAAATGTGGCACCCCATACAGATATTCTTAACACTCACGCACAATATGTCGAGTTATACATAAACCAGCTAGCTTATTCCATAAGCCAGGATGCACATCCCCTAGACCTCTCTGGCCGACGGGGAGACGGCGGAATTCTCCTCGGATTCGAACGTCTCGAGTGTCTCTGGCAGTCCGTTGAAAACATCAAGTCATGGCTAGACAATTTCTACCGCATCCCCTGCTCAAAACTTGTCGGTCAACCGTTCCATTTCTGGTCTCAGATGATTCTCACTATCACATTATTAAAATATCTATCCACCCTCCAAGACCCGAACTGGGACTGCCGAGCCGTGCGAAACACAGTTCACCTAATTTCGACGATGGACTGTATGCGCCAAAAGCTTGACTTGAGCAGCAAAGAACCAGAGCTCCAGTGTAACGATCACTTGCTCAAGTACTTATCGAAGCTATTAACTAGATGTCGTGTATGGGGTGAGTCCCGGTGGCATATGGGGTCTCAGATTCAAGACGTGGAGATTAGGCCGGGCAGGGGTGCTAGCCCCGACACAAACTGCCGTAATCCAAGTCAGAGTCAAGGTAACCATATCCCGGACCTGGACCAGATGGCCTGGATGCAGTCTATGGATTTGGGCAGTGAACAGTGGTTTGAAGATGTTTTAGGCATGCCTGCTACAATCTACTAGCTTGCTTCAGCCGTGTCGGTCTGCCTTGCGTGTGTCAATATCAATTCCAAAGACCTTTGTATCGGGGAAAGCACCACGTTTTTCTCCATGACACAATTAACTCAAGATGATTGGATTGCCTCGACCTTCTAAGAATATTTCTAAGACTATGGCAATGGTAAAGGACTAGCTCGAGAAGTAAATTGGAAAAACTAGAACTCAGACATCAGAAACTGATTCAAGCCATCATCATCTATATCAGGGAAGCCAGCCCGCAAGAACGGTAGATTGTATATAAATGCATCCAGATATTTAAAACAATCAGCAGGATCCATGAATGATAGCTCTTCAGCGCTTGGGAGCATGTCCGTGGTCAGAGACTGCGTGCCTGTATCTTCAGTGGGATTACCTTCTGGGATGTCCCGAAGCTCTCCGGGGGCTGTTGTTGGTTGGGCAGAAATAGGAGCCGCTGGTATTTGTTCCGATATTGCTGCTTGGAAGGTATTATCCTTGGTTGTTTCGGGAACTGACTGTCCTTGGAGCCAAAGGCCAGCAAGCAATTTTGCGTATTTGGAAGCAATGTGTTTTGGAGTCGAAGCTGCGGCGTTCAGCATGGAGATGAATCGTTTGGTCAAAGTGAAACAGGTTTGATATTCTCCAGGACTCAATGCTCCGAGAGTATGGGCCTTGAAAAGAAACACTGTTGCGTGTATCTCGTATCTATTTGTCCGTCAGCCCTTATTGGTCTTGCGATGAATGAAGGCATGAAAACCTAGAAGACATACAAGTAATATCGTACAGGGAGAAATCTCAAATGTTTCGAAGGATTGAGTCGATGTATCAGCTCCTTGAGAACACTTTTTGCTGCATCGATAGCGAGGTATATGTGACGGCCATCCGGACTAGCCATGACACTGTCCGGAAAATAAGACACCTGTTTCTCTTGCTCTCTAGAAGTGCGATAAAGAACAGCTTGGAATGCAAAAGCGTTCATATAAAGACGCAGGTACTCAAATTGGAGCACTAGAAGTCCGTTTAGATGACTCGGAACGTCGACATTGCTCCATGATCTTTTCCACATGTCTAGTGCCTTTGCACTGTCGTCGAGATATTTTGTGTAATCACCCATGAGTATCAACTGGACTGTGCGTGACTTGGACGCATATAAGATGTCATGAACATTTCCGAAGATGGTCGTCAGCTCAACCTGGGCTTGTATAAAGGATGCATAGTCAAATTGTCCAGCCCTTTGAGGGCGGAGTGACGGATAGTCATGCGCCGTGAACTGAGTGGATAGTCCGGGCCCGCGGCACCAGAATGCTTGACCCATCTGGATAGATATCTGTCGATCCGCAAGGTATGTGACTAGTAACGGTCAGCTATGCAGTCGGTCATCTAGACGCTACACATACATATCCAAGCCAACCGTTTCCGATCGGAAGCTCGATCAGACTCGGCTTTCACTTCGCCGCGGAAGGAATGTTTCTCAAGATGTAGCAGATAGGCTTGCCTGACTGCCAGTCCGATGAGACTCCACGCAAGGCTATCTTCTTCACTTGTATCTCCATGCTCTAACTGAGCCAAACCGGGAATATCTCCACCTGAACCGGTCTCCGAGTTGATATGTGGTACCCATTCGGCCAACAGCAACAGACCTTCCACGGAGCCGACATGTCGAACGCTTTTGGAACCTAAGACGACGCGGAGCAGAAGCTTTTCCATATGGCCTAGAACTCTCTCGTGTAGGTTTTCTAAGCCTTGCCGGTCCTGGGTCGCTATAGTCAGTATTGAGGCTAGTAAAAAAGTCTCATCAGCCGAGTGATGCTCCCAATTCTCCCTGCACAATAAGTGGGTTGGCACAATTGGCAGATAACAGTGGTAATTTCTGGCATAGCTATAGGCCGATGACTCACGTTAGCAGAGGTATACCGACCCAAAATATTGACGACCTACTATCGTAAAAGGGGATCGATGGATTGACTATCTATAATGCCCTCCCTAACGAGCTCAGATTCCTTCAGGCTAACAGTACCACGCGGCAAATGGCTGCGCGCTTCATCTGGAGGGGGTAAGTTGTTTGTGGGGTATTGAGGAAGAGTAGAGGTTCTTTTTTCGGCCATTCTTTCGCTAGATGCTGTCTGTGCTAAGATTTGCAAGGCCTCCAGAGGATTTTGTATCCCACCACTTATACCAGGGTATTGTGCGTCCTCTGAGGCTTTATCAATTGGCAATCGAGAAAAGCCGCTCTGGTGCTCTGAACTATCGGGCTCGTGGATCACTCGTCGCCTGGATTGTCGCATATGCCGTCTCCGAAGTTGCGAGTAGTCGCCCCCTCGATTTGACCCCGCGATGACGCAGTTGAACCCTTCAGCAGAGCATTTTGAACAGGGTCGATATTCATTCTCGGTTGTGTATTTCCTGGAGAAGAGACAAACAACCGAATCAGTTACCACAAGATAGAGATCCGTATGTACATACAGGTCACATTTTGTTTTACGTTGCCGACATCGGAAACAGGCACGATATAACCTGGCCCCTGTGCTTTTTGTCATGGGAAACGGTATAGGTGAGATGAAAACCGAAGGCAGGACGTGATGTGATGAGGTGGAGATGCGGAGGTGCGGAGTGCCGGCAATAGATGGCAATAGACGGCATTAACCATGCTGGGCCGAACTATAACCGCTTCCCCCACCACCGTCTCGACACTATAATAATGACACTCCCCAGGCTCTCGACTTTTACTCGAATTTTATCATGAGCTATTGATAAGAAACTAAAGATCACATCAAAATGGCAACCACTGTCAGCGAAACTCAAACTCTTCCTCCAGCACCAGCAGAGGTGCGAAAGTATACTTCCCACAAAGACGATATGTACGGAAAGTATTACCCTGCTCATCCAAAAGACCTGAAACTTGAATCGAATTTTGGACCCATGGCTCCGGATCAAATTGGATATCTCCAGCCTACATTCAAGGAAACTCCGATTGAATTGATGCGCGAACGGTTTCAGCGCGATGGATACTTATTCGTATGTATACCTCTTATCTATGCATCGTGGACCATGCATTGACCCTGTCTACTACTGTTAGGTCAAGGATCTCCTTCCCAAAGAAAAAGTGCTCAAGTGCCGACGTCGTTATTTCGAGCATATGGCCCCCTCGGGTCTCCTCAGGGACGACACAGACCCGGTAGAGGGAATATTCAGTGATAAAGACAGTCGAAAGTTCCTTCCACCTGGAAATCTACGACGGCTTTTCGGTCTGAAAGATGATGAAGAGTCAGACAAGTACCTCGAGCTGATGATCAGCGCTCACGAGGCTGATTTCTATCTCGACTTCTGCGAGATCGAAGAGCTCAGAACCTTTATCAGACAATTCAACGGATGGGAAGACATCATGATGCTACAACGAACCATGCTCCGGGCCTTTGTCCCTGACAGTGAATTGACCCCCGTTCACTTTGATCAAATGTACCTTCGAGCAGGTCCGCCAACAAGTATGACGGCATGGGTTCCAATTGGCGACGTCTCCTTGGAAGGAGGAGGGCTAATGTACTTGGAGAACTCGGTCGATATCGGGAAACGGACAGAGGAAAATTTTTCTCGAAACGCGAGTAATCTGACCGACGAGGAACGTGTTTCGGCGTTTAACAAGAATATGAAGGACGGTGGGTTCTTAAGTCGTGACACCGTATCATACGGACAGAAGGCCCAGAGAAAATGGTTGATTACCGAATATGAGGTGGGCGATGTGATCTTTCATGACCCGTTCCTAGTGCATGCCAGTTGCAAGAATAAAGACCCCGAACGACGCATTCGATTAGCAACAGATCTGAGATTTGTTGATTCTACCAAGCCATATGATAAGGTGAGAAACCAGAGAATTCCATCTACTTTCACACGAATGGTTGTTGTTGTTGTTGTTGTTGTTGTTGTTGTTGTTGCTAACGTTGAGCCCTACAGCGTTGGATGAAAGTGTACAGGCCTCTTGATGGTCTGTAGGGTATCTGATCTTCATATTCCATGAACTCTATGTATAACGTGGACATCATTATGCAAAGAACTTTGAATTGACTGTAGCAATTGCTATTTACTAGTTATATGTAAACTGTCTTAACTGAGCAGTGTTGCTATTGTTTTTACTAGAATACCACGAAGCCTAGGTCAGCGCAAAAGAGCAAAGATATATAAGTCTAGCCATCAATTTAGATATATGAGTCTCACTGTATACTGGAAGGTTCTGACTTCTTTTGCTCGACTGTGCATACAACCTACTCAGGCCATATCCATCGATATTATGGCTCGGGTGTCCTGAATTATCAGGCCGCCGATGTCACCTGCCCGGGCCGCTCGACGTCTCCTTTCGCCTCCCATCCATGGAACAACACTCCTTGGTTCTTTATCAAACCCCTTAATTGTACATCCATCAAAACTAGGGACTTGTCAAACTACGGAAATTATCATGTATCACCCTCTCCGTCAGCATGAGCAGCACATTGAGCTCGCTCGTTTATTCCTAGCCAAGTTCTCTCAGACGACGACATCGAGCAATCATCGGGGTCCATTGCACTGGACTCACCTCATCGGGGACGGTGGTATCATTGGCATATTTGAGAAGCTCGCGGTTTCCAACAGTGTCTTTCTCAAAGTGCTAAGCAAAGATAGCATTATAGTATGTTCCTTGATCCCAATCTTCAGCTGGCAAAGGCTTATTAGAGCTATACGCTTTTAGGAGCACATAAGCCTGACGGAACTTGCAAGAGTCGCAGCCTCTGACCCTCATGCGAATGACCCGGTTACCTCGAAGTCAATTTTCGCCGTCGTCGTGAAAATGCCCTGCATTGCGGTCAAATATCTAACTCAGGATGGACATGTTCGTGGATCCCTCATCCTATAATGCAATGAACGATTTGGTCTTGTTCTCCGTCTGATTCTGGACATAGATACGTCGATTTCAAATCAAGTTCGGTCAGGATCGTGATTACTACGCGGCATTGACCATTCTTAGCGACATCAAATGCCCTTTCTCTGAGCCCAATATCGGACCAGTGCCACTGACTCGAAGGCCATCTACTACACAGTGGCAGGTAGGACCTTCTTCGTCTGTTATGGCTAGCACGGCCGGAGATATACAAGCGGCGGATGGGTATACGTCCCATGGTGCCTTCATTCCACCCCATGGAGCGACATCAAACCCATTTGCAGCGACATCCAGTGTCACAGCCGGTGGGATAATTTCACTTTATACTCCAGTCGCCAGCAAGCCGATACAGCGCTGACCAGACAATACAGCTCAAGCCTCCCTCCCGTCCTCTTCGAGCACTATGCACAATGCTCCTGCGCATTCCTGGACCAGCGGCACCAACCAGGGAGGCATGCGAGATGTGAGCCAACTCTCCTCGGTATCGCAAATGTTTACTAACTTTTCTCTCAGGACATGACCCCAAGACAGACCATAACCAGGCCGGTTAGTTCAAACCCACCGATCCGTAGACCGTCAACAGCTACTACCTGTTACGATGCGAAATCCTTGGATGCTATACTACCACCCAAACGAAAGCTTCCTTTCCTCCAACCCGCGCCGCCGCGAGCCCCAACCGCGCCAGAACCATCTCTCATGCGTTCACAAAGAGCCCCTGATGGAAGTATGATTGGCAATGCAGAAACCATGAGTTGCAGACCCGCAACATCCTCAGGTTATACATTTCGCAAACCAGAACAGACCGGCAGGCCGGCAGACAGAAGTTCAAGCGTCATCGCCCCTACACCTAAGCCTACCAAGATATCGCCATCTGAAAACCCTTCAACCTTGCCTGAACCTACAAGTATTCCTATCTGTGAGCCAACCGAACCATCCGCCGTACCTTCTTGTTTCCCATCAAACCAGCAGCATTACCAAACCGGCAGTCCTGTACAGAGCACGTCCTTGCTCGAAGAAGACGTTGGGAGAGATCTAGGCCCGGCCCTTGCAAACCTCTCATCATACTTATCAGCACCTACGGCCGAGCGGACCAAACATCTAGAGAACTGGATCTGTCAACATATTGAAGACGATGGATTCATTCAGTTGTGCCAGGATGTAGAGGGCATATGGAAACGTATTGCAGTGGGGAAGTAGGTAAAGTTAATTTTGTGGTTTCTGATCTTGTGGTTTCTGATCTTTGCAAAATGTGGAGTTTGTTCTTTTTCGGTTTTCTACTGAAGTAGTGGGCATTGTCAAAGAATATTTCTTTAGAACAGATCTTTTTGCTAGAAGAGCCAAAAAATAGAAATAAAATAGCAAGTTATTTCCTCGCAAATTGGTAAAATACAAGCAAAAACAGAAATCATGGTAAATATCCCGCTAGTCAGTCACCGTTTATAAAAGCCATTATAAATTGAATATTGTGAACATGTCTCCCCATTTTTTTGTTGTTGTTTTCTCAAGCCCAGACTTTTCGGCCGCAAAGAGGTGAGAGAACCTAAAAAGGCCAAGGCTAAGACGGAAATAATAAGAGCGCCTAAAGTACAAAATGAACAATGCTAAGGATGATCAAATTCTGTTTGAAGATGAGGGCAGAGCCAAGATCCAACATCAGCGAGACCGACGGTAGATCAGGCCGGAGAACACATTGAGATAGCCTTCCTTGGTGAGAAGAGTATAATCAACGACAACACGACTGGGCGGTTGCGAGACAGAGCCGAGGTTGGGGGAAGTGGCAGCGTTGAGATTGTTCTCGGTCGAGAGCGCAGGCGGTGGTGGAGAGCCCGAGGTGGCAGCCACGGAGCCTTCCGCGCCAACGGCAAGATCTGCCAGATGTTGAAGCGAGCGTTGTTCATTCGGACCCATGACCGGGGGACCGACGGAGCCGCTTTTGTTGAGACTGGGGTCGTGGAGTTGGCTTTCTTGGGCCTTGGTTCGTCGCCATTCGAGGAAGATACGGATCTTGGCGTCCCAGCCGGGAGTGGTGAAGATATCGCCGAACTCGGCCGCGTCGGTGCTTTGTTTTTCCCGGGAGTCAAGAATCTCTTCGACCTTTCTGAGCGAATCCCAGCACTCGTTGGCGTATTCAGGAAGGACAGTGGATTCCAAAAGGGTCATGGAAGCTAAAGCCAGGCTGTGAAGATCGAAGGGCGTTGTGATGCGAGCCTGCGTGCTGGCCTTGTGCAACTCGTTGACCACTTCTTGGGCGCTATAGATGATTTCGTAGGGGCTGTAGACGAAGATGTGTCGCTTGATCAGCAGCCGAATGGTCCAGTACAGTTGATTTTGCAAACTGTCGATAAACGTCTGAGATTCGGATTCATCGGTGACTTCGTGAATTGAACGCAGATCCTCAATCTCTGTTAGACGCTCAAGCGATGATGCCAAATTGGCCCCGACCATGCGTCCGATGCCAGTGTTCGTTTGGCAGATATTGTGTTCCAGAGAGGCCAATGTGACCAACTCAATCAAGAAGGTCGAATAAGCTTAAAGTAAAGAATCAGCACTGAGACTATAGTAAGGTATCGGCACACTCAAGGGAGGACCTACAGCCAATGCCAGTGGTAACGCGCCCAACAACCCGCTCGTCTTCCCGACCACCCATCTCATACATTCCCAGAGCGCTTTGGTCAGCTACGCTAACCGCGTACCAGCGAGATAGTATACCCAGTGCCACCCAGTTGCGACGAACGAGGTTCGCTTCCGAGTCGACGTCGGGGTCTGACGAGCGTTTGGTCTTTAGTTGACCAAGACCCTTGGCCATGTCCGAAGCGAGCTTATTCGCGGACTGGATCAGGGAATGTTTTGGTACACCATCCTTCAGAACAAAGTTGTCGGGACCTCTCCAGTCACAGTCGAGAATCATAAGCAGCATTGTCTGAAGCCAGATGAGGTTGATCCCGGTCGGACGAACAATGGCCGGTTGGCGAGTGTAGTACAGAAGAAGGTCCTGCGCATTGTCGAACGAGGTGACTCTCTCGAAAGTGCCGAATACTCGATCAAAATTCGTGCGCGTGGCGGTGTAGAGGCTGTAAATAAAGATCTCCTGCACTTCGCGACTGCATTGGTGGAGAATTTCGAGCAACCGTTCCTTCGAGTGCGGCAAGATGGGGAAGACAGGGTGGATTCTTGAATAATACCTGTGGCGGGTTAGAATCTGCATAATCCGAAATCACAAGACTGCAATCGACTTACGCGTCGATCGCCCCGACGTCCAAGTCCAAGGGTGTCATATCCTCCTCCATCGCTTGTTTGGGTATATCGGTCATCTCAATACCGGCGGGCAGTTCGTTCTCATTGCCAGTCGACCAGAAAAGATTGCCGGGTTTGGGTGCTGAGCCGCTGACAACCGATGCGTTGATGGGATCCGCTGCGGTTTCGCCTGCATCTTCTTGTGAAGTTAGTTGAAGGAAGTCAAATGAGGCAGGTGCGCAGGATACGAACCGAATGCATTCTGCGACCGAGTGTTGAATGGCGGTTGGGTAAATGAAGAGCTAGGAAGTCCTTCAAATACGGAGTAGGTTCTTTTGCGACCGATTCCGCCGCTATCCATTGGAGGCGAAAAATCCTGGTAGCCCTTGGGGGAAGACACCTCGTTCATACCCTGGTATGGCATGTCCGGATGAACCATAGCAGGTTGCATCTGGTTTTCGAGAGTGTGCAGTCGTTCCGCCAATTCCTTGATGTAACTATATCATGACCCTCGTCAGCCCTCACGCGCCTAGTATCACCTAGACTCCGAGTGATCGCGCCGCTTACCCTTTGCTTGGGCCACGTTTCATGGGGACGCGACTGAATTGGCAGACAACTCCGAGACGGCGACAGTTCGAGCATGTTTCCACGCCCGTTTCAGAGCTGGCATCGCAACGGACCTAAGCGATCGCGATGTTAGCCTGACACAACTACCGAGACGACGTCGCGTCGCGCGATCAAAACATAAGATGTTGGTTGGTACCTTTTTGCGCCGGCACTCATCGCACGCGCGAGAGATCTTCGATCTTTTCCTCCTTGCACTCTGATCCCCATAGCTCAAGTCGTGATTCGGATCGACGCCCACTTGTTGACTCGGGGTGAATTGCAGCATGTGCTGTTGTTGATGCTGATCAGGCGACGAAGGGCGACCCATATCCCCGCCAGCTGGATTGGACGCGCCCAAAACCATCGACTGGCCATGATGAACGCCGTTGCTGGATCCATCGGCAAGACCGGGGCCGGAGGTTTCGCGCGAAAGCTCGGCGGATAGGAGTTCGTCGGCAGTTAGTTGGCGGTTTGTGTAGTACTGCATAGCGCCCTGACCGATCTGCGCCGCGTTGGGGGACGGATAGGAAGGAGCCGGAGGCATATCGGAATGCTCGCGAGAATTCATGGTAGCGAAATTGGCGGTTCAGCGATAGACGAGCGGGGGGGTGGATGATGGAGCGAGGCTCCGGATGGTGATGGTGGAGGAGGGAGGAAGTTGGAGGACGGAAGAGGTCGCAGGCAAAAGGTTTTACAGGCTAAAAAACCGCCTGGGCGGGGAGAGCATTTCGAATGGGTTAGCGCCGTATGCCCTCGGCGCTGGAGAACTGATCACAGCAAACATGGTCGCGCAACTTGAAGTAGAAATGCCTGGCTCATGGACCTGGATCTCTGCTCGCGGGATGCGATATAGTTTCATCCTGGGATGATCGTGCCGACGCGGAGATCCGGCTTTTTGTTTCTGCGTCCAGCGCGCGGATTAATACTATTTCCCACCGGCCCAGACTCGACCAAAGAAACTCCTCCCTCGAAGGATTCGATGCATCGTCCCTCTGTCGGAGAGCATCGGTCGCATCGGTCGCGTCTTTTTACTCCTCGGGAAATCCCTGATGGCCCTGTCGCATTCCGGACATCTCTCGCACTGGGAGATGAGGCATCTGGCGATCCAAGTTGGGATACAGCTCGCCACCCTCGATCTCACCGACCTGCCATCCCACCTGAAGGAGTGATGCAATGTCGCCCTTGTTCAGGCCTTTTCAAGCGCTTCCTTCGTCTTTCGGATGGTTTTTCACTATATTACCATCTGTCGTTACGCAGCTGCGAGATTTAAGAAACGGAAACTGGTGATGTACCACCCGTTGGTGATCAGGTCACTGCTTCTGCATCGTCCCCCAGCCAAGCACCTTTCGCGACCTTTTCGTCATACTGAAGAGGACTCAGCGACTAGCTCAGGCGTTACTCGTAGTACTTGATAGAAGTTTCGCTGAATCCTGCATTGTTTCCTTGCTTGAGACCCTCCCCTTCTAGCTGCATGAGCGACTTCAGCAGGTTGAACCCCTCTAAGGTGTGATCGAAACTTTTCCCTCTCGTTCTCATCAGTTATACAATGAACAGGACTGTTTTGAAGTCATGTTTCTGCTTCGAAGAGATGTCCCTGCTTCAAGCCCAAAGACCAATCCGCTCGACACCTTAGGCATCACTGACAGTGGTGATGGTGTCACGTGTCATTTGTGGCAGGAAATGTGGCAGAAAAATTACCGCTACACTAAAAAGGGTCAACCCTTAATAGTAAGGGTTATTTCTAGTGTATATCCGCGGCGACAGGAAATATTCATGTCATCCCTTATCAAGACCTTCTGCTGTGCTTTTCCCCCTTCAGGCCACCGACTCATCCTTGCGAGCTTCTCGGCGGTCTTGACCTCTCTCTTCTGGTTCCATAAATAGCAGAATTCACCGGATGTAACTTTAGAGCTGGGCAACGAACTGAGTTCATAAAGCACGCCTGACATGACATTCCCATGGGACGCGTTGGTGTGCAGCTCTGCATCTGGAGTTATTTTTATCAAGTGCCAATCAAATACGCTATTTCCCTTGTTCTCGTATAGCACTAAATCTTTCCCCAAACGGGTCCAGATCAACCCTTCATCATAAGGCTGTGCCAGTCTTGGCCGGAAAGTCGACACGCTCGAGGCGAGATCACTGGTCAGAATTTGGCTCGCTCTGAGACCCTTGTTTCAGAACAGATGAAAATCAACACACTTTACTCCGTCTATAGTAAACAATGATGTATAGAGGTGTAGAGGCCCCGTATACAACACCTATCAATCTACGGAGTATAGAAACTCTAATGGACAATTCTTCCAATCTGCATGTGCATCAGCGGCGCCTCTTCTACAGAACGTTTCGTTATGTCAAAACAACTGCCCTGAGCACGCCTGAACATTCAGCAGGCCGGGGTGCCTTAAATGATCTTCAGGGGCATCAGCTGGCTCGGCCCCATCCCCTAATCTCTGCCTTTTTAGGTAATCATCAAACAATCGTCCCACTGGATTTCCTTCTCTTATTGGCTCTAGTGCCACAAGGCTATGACCCTGAATATGAGGCTCATTGTTGGACCCCATGTACCTTGTCATTGGCACAGAATCATATGCACCGCCATGGATGAATGCGCTGCACTGGGATATAAAAACAAGAACAAACCCCCAGAAATCGAAATTCTTGTCCCCCCCCAAACTAGCAAACACCATCCATCGCTTGAACCAAAATGCAGCTCACCTACCTCACCGCGGCTCTTGCAGCCATCACCACTGCCTATGCCATTGACGCATCAGCTACCCCTTCGTCTTCCGGCGCAGTTCCCAGCTCCTCCCCGCCCAGCAAGATCGTCGACCAGGAGATGTTCCCAACATCATCCGGCCAGATCCTCCTCAACTACGACAAGGAATGCTACATCGAGCTCACCGACATCCAAGGCTGCACCGGCCGCTCCAAGCCATTCGGAACCGTCAGCAAGTCCACCGGAAACTGCGACAATAGTAAGCCCCTTTCCCGGCATTCTTGAAAATTGCTCATATGCTAATCAATCTACAGAGGGCGCTTACCCTCTTGTCACCGATATCTGTGATGGCCAGATCTGGATCTACACTCACGGCAAAGACAACGAGGAGACGATCATCCCTCCCCTGGGTAAGGGTTCGTTCGTCACGGAGGGACAGTTCTGGTTCAAGAACTCCACGGGACATGTCAACGAAGTGCAATACAATATGGGCTATGTGAAGCCCGGATGCGAGTTCCACGCTAAGCGTTATGATGGTGATAAGTTGACCTGGGATGGAAGCTGCTATGCTTAGGGCTGGGGGATATGTTGGGCTTAAGCAAGCCATGTTTTTTGTATAGAATGGGGTGTGAAAGTAGTTCGTCTGCTTTGTCTGTATATTGCAATTCTTAATAATCTCGTTCGGGCTCTCGTGCGTCATGAGTATTGATAATGATGGGAATGTTTAATATTATACCAGAAAAGTGAACACATCTAAAATCACCCTCAATCCTACGTCTATTCTCTTCTGGGCGATAATACAACCCCTACACTTCAAGGTATAAGAAACTCCAGGCTTTCTGGGTACCCGGATTGCGTATGGCGGCTATTTGACTACTTCTTCACGCCACTTATTCACATACTACATCTTGAAAACTTCTTTCTTCCTCTATTAAACCCCCGTGATCATTCTCCATAATTTAATTCAAGATTCTTCCTTGCATAGAGTCTACACACACACGCCCGTCCACAGAATCCAGGAAGAAAATAAAATTCATAACACATCCATTAATCCTTCATCCAAGAATATATACATTCACCCCCACCCACCCAAATAGCATCATAATCTAAACATACTCCTTAGCCAAATACCCCAAGTCCTCCTCCAACGGCTTCCCAGCAGCCGTCGCATTCGTCACGCCCACTAGGAAATAAACCATCCTCGCCGGCTGGCTCTCGGAGACGTTTCTCCACCGATGCATACCCGCGCGGTTCACCGACACATCACCAGGATACATGAGTCTCTTCTCGCCGCTGTCCAGCGACAGCTCCATCACACCGTGTGTGACGACGCCGTACCCGATGCCAATTGACCGGTGGAGGTTTGACTCAACGCCAGGCGCGAAGTCGATGGTGCGGATGACGGAGCCGGTGGGGTAGTTTAGAGGGGGCTTTTGGAATCAATATTAACGTTTCCTTCTTAATGACAGAGGGGATGCGGGAATATGTCAGGAGGTAGTTGGGGGAGTACCTTATTTTCCATAGCGAATTTCACATCCTGGTCGTCGGTCAGGTCAACGGGGTTTGACGGCGTGCTGTACGGAATATTCTGCGCGGCGGCGCCCTCGACCATAATGGCGCCGTGGTCACCCTTGTCGGAGACCAGGAAGACGGATTGGCCTTCTGGGTTGTGACCGACGATGTAGCGGTTTTGGTCTGGGAGACCTGGGGCTGGGAATCCGGTGACGGGACCGCCTTGTGACATTTTGCAGGTTGGGAAGATTGGTTGTGGAGATGGGAAGAGATGCTACGTGAAGGATAAGCTGAATGATATAGAGAAGACGAGTGATAGGCAATCAGAGTTTGATGAAGGTGGTATACTGAACAAAGACAATATCGCGTGGTGGGGGCAAGGCGAAAGCCCTGTTTTATACAATTCTCCGACTACTGTATCGCCGACTCCCCATAATGATCAAACACAACTAGCCCACCAGGACACAGCAAAAAATAACCCCCAACCTCGCCATCTCGGTACAGCATCCAGTGCCTACCAAGGAACGGAATCCGGTTCGTTCGAAGTCCGCCCATCGTCTGACTGTATCGGCGCACGGTTTTACCCAAGAGGTGTCACTTCATCTGTGCTATACTAGAAACGACAGAAGAAACCAAGCTCCCCGGGGGACATTGACAGCCTTTGGTCTGGAGCTAAGGAGTATAGAATCCGAAATGAGGATGACACGGAGTGGGTCGATGGGCGATGCATGGCAACCACATGGGGCCGTTGAACTTAACCCCTTGGCTTGCGTGCATTCCGGCGATGAATAGATGCTACCATGTGGAAGGGCGCCCTTCCTTTTTGGCCCCTGGACTATGGGCTTTCTACCCATGATTCGCAGGGGGAATGGAACAATGGGGGTTTCTAGGGCATGTATGGAGGTCGTGAATGATATTTCAAATACATCGACACAGTATCCAATTTCGTCATGTTAGTGTAACTACGTATGGTATAAATCGGAAGTTGCAAATTACAGAAACGACCAATTCTATAGGCATAGGACCGACCAAAACGATTACTGCTGAGTGAGATTCAGCCGTATTCAACTGAATGGCGCGCTATTTCTAGAAGGCGCTGAAGCATAGAAAACAATGATGGTTACTAGATACCGAGCAATCACGCAAAACAACTTGAATGAAGGAACAGAACAAGGCAGTCCACCTAAACCAGTATTAGCATGTAGAAGAGACATACCAATATTTGATCTACAGCAATTTCAAGTTCCAACAGATCCCAACTACATGAAAATACCAGTTCGAGACCACCAAGTCGAGTGGGTTAATTTGTCCGAGCATTCTTCAAGCCCTTACTTGGAACAGGAGTCTGGACACAAGGCATGTAAGATTTTAACCTCTCTGCAGGCACGCTGAAGACCGACAAACCTTGTGGGAAATTAACTAGCTACAGTAAAACCCGCTCACTGATCCTCGGCGTTGGATTTGTCAGAACATACTGTACTGTAACTATAGTTAGGCAGTGCAGGACTCTCCGACTACTGAAGATGTTGCCTGAATATTGCGCCATCCTGTCAGCATGCATCCACGCTACACAGGGACTAGAGACACATACTAAGCATCTGACCTCTTGTTCGCAAAGGATGAGCATCGGGTCGATTTCTACTGTAAGACAATCACTTTTCACCCGGGATTTTCATCAAGATCTCCGCCCTCTAGGCAAAAATTTGCGAAATTTCCGAAACTTGCGCGACCTTCAATATATAGAAAACCTGACTGGGACTAGTTATTTATACAGTAAGAAACACAAACATCATAGAGATAATGATTTACTCTAAAGTCTCAGTAACCTAGATACAGATCGTTGACTGCATGAGTGGTGGTGTTTGCGCCCTTCGGAAATTTCGCAAATTTTTGGCCAGAGGGTGTACAGTATATTGAAACAGGTAAGCACTAGATCATAAAAGGAAGCTCGTAGCCTTTCGCTTGCACTTCACTACAGTCATAGTTTGCTAGGAAGTGAGGGAGAGACGCGGCGCAGAGAAGAGAAAATAAAATTGTTTTATTTCATATGATTGTAACAAGTATCATAGGTGGGTGTGGTGGAAATGGTTATCGAAAGATATGACCACCGGAACAAGTACCAGAGATAGAGGCAATTGGCCCCTAAAAAAGATCACTTGGGTTTTTAGTGTGATATTAGAACTTGCCAGTACTTGCCAAGGCGCTTAACACTGGGCGCTTTTGTCAATTCCTTCAGGCGCTAAGACATTGGACGTTATACCAACCTAGGGAGGTAGCTAACCGGTCTGCGCCGGTATCGATTAATCATGATTTACATCCCAAAGATACAGTGAAAAAAACAAACTAAGAAAATAGTACTCCGTACTCTAAGGAAAAAATTATTTTTCTGGCCCCTCAAAGAAAAAAAAAAAGATTCCTATCACGCAAGATAAAACATCAGCCCATATTAGTCATCTCTTGGTGCTGGCTTGGTTTCGACAACCTCCTGCACTGTTTCCTCCACCGAAGGCTCCGGAGTGTCCTTCTTAGTCTGCACGAAGAGTTTCTCTCGTTTCATGAAAAGAGAAAGCACAACCGTTAAAGCTCCAGCAGCGACAAGCATGAAGTAGATATTGCCAATGGTTGAGACCAGTGCTCTCTGCACAGCAACCTGCTCGGTAGCAGAAAGGGACTTGAAGAAGGGCCCACCGGCACCGCTGATGGCAAGTTGAATCAAGTCTTTGTCTGCGTTGGGCATCACGGCCGAGATTTTGCTCGTGGCCTGGTTGATGAAAATACTGTTGGAAATGGTCAATCCGAGAGCAATGCCACCGATTTGCCCGCAGCCGATAAAGGCAGTGGACGAGGCAACCTTCGAAGGACCGCCCTTCGCTTGTGAGACTGGAAACGATGCCTGTGAAAATAATCCAGTTCCGAGCGCCAAGATCACACTGTAGCCGTAGATCCGGCCTACGCTAGACTCCAGGGTAATGGTGTGCATGAGCGAGGCACCGATGACAACGAGAACGCCACCGACGAGGTACCAAGGCATATAATATCCAAGAATACCCATCAGAATACCGTTTGAGATGACAGCAAAGACCATGATGAACACGAATGGCAAGAGTCGCACACCTGCCTGGGTCGCAGAATCTCCAAAGACGAATTGGAAATATAGAGGAATGAAGTAGACGGGGACAAAAGCGCAGGTCACTGCAGCTGCCACCGTAACAAAGAAGATAATTTGCTCATATGACTCCAGGAAGTCTAGAGGGAAGAGTCGAGTCTCTGGGGTCGTGAAAAAGACTTGCTGAATTCCGAACAAGATCCAGAGGACACCGGAGCAGACAAAGAGCCCGATGATTCTTCCACTGTTCCATTCAAACATGGCACCACCGAAAGAGATAGCCATGACGAGAGACACAAATCCTCCTGCACTCAGAATTGCACCTGGAATATCGATATGCTGCAAGCGGGACTTCCAGGTAGCAGAGGGCCGTGGGTCGTGGGTTTCGAGCAGCCAAATGTAAATGGGCCCGGCCAACGCTCCGACGCAGAGGTTGATGTAAAAGCTCCATCGCCAGGTTGCCTTAGAGTCAGCGAAAGCTCCTCCAATGATGGGACCAAGCCTAGAAAAATGTAAGCCAAGAGTACAGGGCAGTTAGCTGTTATCGATGGCGCCTTACACAGTCCCAATACCCCAAGTCAATCCAACAAACCCAAGGTAACCAGGTCTCTCGGCTTCTGTCGTGCTATTCGAAAGAAGGTTGATTGCGCCAAGGTAAATTCCAGAGCCACCGATACCACAAATAGTTCGTCCCACAATTAAGGCATTCATATTTGGTGCGGCACCACATACTGCCGAGCCGACTTCGAAGAGGATAACGGTAATGAGGAAGGATTTCTTGGTTTCAAACTGCGCAAAGATCTTGCCCCTGTTGCTACTGTTAGTAAAGAACTTTGACTCTCTCAGTTGAATGCGAAGAACTATCTCTTACCAGACTAAGTTGACAGCCACACCACCAAGCGCAAAGGAGACGGAGATCCAGGGCAGTTTGTTGATTTCCCCGAAGGAGTCGACAATCTTAGGCTGGACATCGGCGACGATCGTGTTGTCCAATGCAAATAGGAAGATAGCCGACAGAATAGAGAAGATCACCAGAACCCATTTGATGCCAGACACATTACGCGGAGGGAGCTCTGCACCGGAGAGGCGTCTTTCCTCTGTAGACTCGCTCGCAGCCATGGTGAGAGAAAGATGAGTCGCAAATCAAACAAGAAAATAATCGCCACAAATTATTATCAAACAAATGAAAGCTGGTCAAAAGACAGTTCGAAAAAAAAAAAAGCCACAACCGCAGAGGACGAGTGCCGACAAAATAAAGTGTATGGCGGACTGTTTAGATCTCCGTCCAAGAAGCTAGAATCATTAATAATTCTAAGAGAGAAAGGGCCGGCGACACATCCGGATGAACAAGAGCAACCGACAAAGAAAAATGCTCAGAGCCTCGCATCAGATTCAACCTGTTGGTCTCCAGGGCTATCACCTTTAGCTACATCCATGTCGTTGTACAAACCAAACTCGGACAGTTCAATGCACCGTTTCCGACCGTTTCTTGTTGGTATTGAAAATCGTTGTATTTTTAGTTTCTTAGCAGCTTACCGGTGTAATCAGTGGACAGCCCGGCAGTATCTTACCGCTAGTCGAGATAAGGTAGGGGGATTCTTTAGCCCTAAAAAAGGAAGCTTACCCATCTAGACAGGTCACTTCCACCACGGGGCTATTATTAACACGCCTTGCATGCCCCTCCCAGTTGAACCTGGCCACAGCCGAACACTGAAAGGAGGCTGGGTGATGTTGTTCTGCATTCACTCGGCGAAGTGCCAGTTGAAGAGTCTAGAAACGGGTCCTTCTCACCAGTTGAGCCCCCAAACCGGATTCTCTCCAATCACAAACCGTCGATCATTATCATCTACTCCGGGGTAGAGTGCTAGAAATAAATCGCTCTCTGCAAGGCTGTGCAGAATGAGTAGCGCGGTTCACTGTGAATTCTTCATGTTAATTCTCCTCTCTTGATGGCACGTTTTACTTGACACAACTCACCCTGCAGGTGCAGCTGCAGAACAGGCAGGCAATGCCGGAGCTAATCACTGGCTGAGAGCAACTGCTTTGGCTCTATGCGCTGCACGGGCTGAAAATCAGAATCTGACATTCTGGCCCTTCTTTCCACATGGTCTTTTCGCCCCCTCCATCTCCTCATTTTCGCCCGCACTACACATGCAACCGTAGCGCTGTCCGTCGCATTCTCGGATATGAGAGGTGGAAAGGCGGACCTAGACTTGAGAGACCTCACTATTCCATCGCGAACGGACTTTAACTCGCGTGGTTCAATGCAAATCGCCCCAATCAATCTCCGGTAATGCAGGACACTGACCAGGGCCAGGCTGCCGTTCACCCTCTGAGCCCATATGGCTTATCATCTTCATATAGCGCGACGCTGTGATACTATAGAGAAGATGGGGGCAGAATGTTGACATTTTCCAAAAGGCTTGGGCGAACAAGCGGCTGAGATGATTTTATAGGTCATCTTTTCTCCCCCCGGCACGACGAAGCTTCTGTACTTTCTCTCATCGGCTGCTGCTTCGGATTCGAGATCCTTCAACAGCCTTCTGAGCTTATTCACTCATCATGTCTGCTGCAGCTGCTGCCGCTCTTCCTCCTGATGTGGACCGCTCCAATGTGTACATTGGAACCATCATCGGGTTTATGGTTCCTGCAGGTCTCATATTGATCCTTCGGGTAGCGGTTCGCACTCTGATGACCAAGAACATGAGCTGGGATGACTGGTTGATGATAGTTGCCATGGTATGAGGTCTTCCCCCAGCAAAAAACGTACCTGGTATTATACTAACAGCACACATGAAGCCTCTCCTAATGGGTGGTGAGATATTGTCAATCATATCAGCACAACATGGACTTGGGCGACACATCATGTACTTGGAACCCGAGGACATGATAATCGCATTGAAAATGAACACGATAGCGCAACCTCTGAACATCCTCGGATTATTCTTTGTCAAAGCTTCGATTGTGGCTTTGCTCATTCGTCTCAAGTGCAAGACAGTCTACAAAGCAATCCTATATACCTCATTGGCTCTCCTTTTGGTAATTTCGATTGTCGGCGTTGTCATTGCATTTGCGCAATGTCGGCCTTTTGAGAAGAACTGGTTCGTGACCATGCCGGGCACGTGCTGGTCTCGTGATGTCTTCACGAATGCACTCTATACTCTCCAAGCCCTTACTATTGCGACCGATCTGTGCTATATCATCATCCCGATTTTCATGCTCTGGAATGTGCAAATGGCCAAATCTACCAAGCTGAGTGTGTTGGGCGTCATTGGATTAGGTGCCATGTAAGCATACTCCTCTCGCGGACAACCGGCCCCAAGGATTCATTTTCCTAACAACTATGTCTAGCTCCATGGTGTGTTCCATTGTCGCCATCCCTTTTACGCATCAGCTTTCAGCGTCTCAAGATGTCACGTGGGTAATTATAGACTTGGCATGCGCTAAGATGTACGTACTTTGCCTCCATCCCCTTGCATGATTACAATGCTAACGTCAGCCATAGTGCCGAAGTCAACGTCGCCGTGATGGTCGGATGTCTGCCTCCCCTGCAGCCCATCTTCAAGAAGGTCAACCAGCGTTTCTTCTCTCAGAAGACTGTCACAAACAACACCTATGAAGACCGATTGGCTCGGCTTAAGCTCAAGCCCAGCGAGTACGAAGTTCTCAGCGGCAAGTCCAAGAACAGCAGGAAGCCTAAGAATGAGCTCGACTCGTATGACCAAACCTTTGCCAGCGATACCACTAAGCGGGGTAGCATCGACGGACACGAATTATTCTTGCTTGAGAATGGGGCAGCTCCTGCGGTTCGCCCCAACGTGTAGCCTTGGTCTTCCTTTCTTTCTGTTTCCCTTCCCCATTCTTTCTTCCTTTCCATCCTCTTTCACTCGTCCTCGATCCTTACTTCTCTTCGACCCTCCTTGATACCTCGACTCTGATACCCCGAGACCTGCTCGGTCACGTGGAACATTCTGTGCGGATGGGCAAATTGTTTATGCGCCCGGTGATTTCCAGCCCGCTGGCTGATGTAAATATATGTTTCTACTAAGGTTGATAATTCTATAATAATACATTATCTACTTGTACAAATCCAGTTCCTCATGTCGGACTCAACGTAGACAAAAGTTGTGAGCGCTTCGATGTGTGCCTGAGGCATTAAGGCACGACGCAAACGCCCGTTTGCCGTAGCGAGCCCTACCTTACACTTCCTTTGACTCTGTATCTCCTAACTAGTAACTTAGTACTAGTCAAATGGCCCCTTCAAATAGTCAAATTTTGTCATTGTCAGAAAATCCAAGATAGAAATTCTCCGCCATCTCGCTCATCGACAATCGTCAGGATGCACAAGTGGAGCGACACGTGAATGATGTCCCTGTCAATCCTGTCAATCAGCGGGTCGGGCGATTTTCCCACGCCCTGACCCATAAGTGTCCGGGTACTCCGTAACTACTACCCGCTGTTGGATGAATGTACTGTATGTACAGTACCTGCGTACTCCCGGATTTTAAACACAACTGCATCAACTATTCAGGGCCAACAATGGTTTATTAAGCCGGCGCAAGACTCGAGAACTCCTATGAGGTGGAATGTTCAGGGGACTGAGACAACAAGAAATCAGGGAAGGGTTTTGTTCGCCATATAAATCAGTTACACGACATAGGGAATTGCAGGGAAGGCAAGCTGTATTGCTATGTATGTAGTAGTATGTAATTCTAAACGAGCGAAATTTACAAGATGACGGCTTCGGGTAATTGCCCGACGCTCGGCCAGCGGGGGAACATTCTTGTCGACGAGGACCAGACTAACTCTTAGCACCGGTCCAGCCTTGAATACCACGTCCGTTCCCCCCATCAGCTGGCAGGATCCAGGCCTTTTTGGAAAAGAGACTCGGTCTTCTGACATCAAACAGCCGGCATTCGGCCCCAACACTAACACCACTTTCCTTTATAAGACGAGACAATCATCCCGCCCCCAAATACTAATCCTCTGCAGGGAAAACAGAGGCTGGCTAGTTACCCTAGCTAAATCTCATCCACCCTTACAACAGCTTCGTTAACTTCGCGTCCGAGTCGAAATTCCCACTCAGAAATGGCACCAGCCCGGTGATGGCGACGCCAAAGGCCTCCGTGGTCGAGAAGGCTTCGTGGGCCGCGAGCGACTCCCAGCCCACGAGGGCGAGATACGTGGCGACGTCGATGCCAAGCGAGGGATTGGTGACCGTGCCGCGGTGCCAGCCGCTAGTGGCGTAGAGTTCCCCCGACGCCGACTCGACGGCTGATTTGAGTGTTCCGAACGCCGACTCGAAGTCCGTCTTCTGCTGACTCGTGGCACCGGGCAGGAGGTAGAAGACCGCTAGTTCCGTGTTTGCGACTCCGTTCAGCGTCTTGAGGGGCTGCGCCTGGTCGAAGGCCACGTTGTATTGGGTGATCGAGCCGTCTTGCAGGCGCGACAGGAATGACGAGACCGTCGAGGAGCTGATGATTTGTGTCACTTTCTGCGCCGCGGAGGAATCGTCAAGGTCTGTGAGATTTTAGTCAGCATTCTTTGGTCTTCTGCTTTTCGATTTGTTGATTTTCTGTTTCTTTTTCTTTTTCTTTTTTTTCGTGTTCATTATATTTTTGGTATTCGTTTATCTTCCCGGTGGGACATATAGACCGGGATCAGGAATCATTACCAATAAACAGGTCGATGGTGTTCTCGTCGCTGCTCTCCCGTGCGTAAGATACCCCCAACACGCCAGCACTCTGCTTGTACGTATTGACCAGGCCCGTCCAGGCTGATTCGCTAGGGATTGAGACGGAGGCTTTGACCGGAATCTGTAGAATGAGTGTCGATCCGTACGTCGACGCCGCAACCGGGGGTGCACAAAGCCAAGCCGGCAAAAGACAGGCAAACACCGAGCAGATCTTGCCAGGCAACATTGTTCGTAGTGGTAGTTAGATGATAGGTTGATCGTCGGCCTTCTAGAAGTTCTAGCTGGGTAGGTTCTATAGCCAAGTATAGAAGATGGTTGATCGTAAGAGATCTTCGATTGAAAGATGATGAGAGAGTATTTGAGATGTCTAAAGAAAAAAAGCCTCGTATATCCTGGTGCGAACTCCATCGCCTTTTAAACACTTTCGCCCTCCTTCGCACCCTTCCTCCCTACGCCCGGTATGTTTCTGGTTCACTTGCTCCTTCTGTTTCGCCTTCCTTCCTGGCGTTGGTCATTGCGGTGTGTTTTAGCGATAAGATACTCCGATGAGTGGTTCACGCACAGGAGAATACGAGCATCGAAGCAAGATTGAGCACTAAGATCAAGCAACTATCGTGACGCTATTCCTGCAGGATGCAATGGTCTGGTTTGTTTAGGCAAGAGAATTATATATAGTAGCGTGTTTCTAGAACCATTGGACGCTTATACGGAAGTTTAGCCCGAATGGGATGATTTGTGTTGTACTTTGCAGGGCTCAGTGGGTTTAATTGGCTCGCTCTTTTTGTTCTGGGAAAATGCGTGAGTTCGTGAATCTGCATGCTGCGTTCTTGTGGACTCGTTAGGTCTATCGTGAATCTAGCCGAAGAACGTCATCAGGTTAGGCTGGCTGGGATGCCACACGTGTTTGCCACATGGATACGAACTAAACAAGTCTGATGAGAACCTCTGTAAGCCGGCTAGATCGTAAGAGATTGCATTAGTGAGGGCTTGTCATTCTAACTTATTGGGGCGTTCGTTATGACGACTCTCACGCTCATGAAGAATCTTACTGTCGATGCAAAAACTAACGGATGAGGATAGAAGGTCCTTGAACAGACTAGTATCTCAGTATCAGACTACTCCGGATCACCCTCGTCCCATGGTGGTACGAAAAATGGGGGCGAAATTACTGGCACACGGCCCAGGACACATAACAAACCTTTAGGGCTAAGTCGAGCAAGTATAGCGGTGATGGGTAGGTGATATAAAACGTGGCTGCTGCCAAACGTCGGAAACTGTCAGAAGAGACTCCCAGTGAGAAACTTAAAAAAAGTCTTACGAGAACCTCGGATTTCTGTCAGCATAAGCTTTATACATTACTTGCTCCGTGAGCCTTCAGAATCAGTACAATGGCCTTCGGTAAATTCACAAACGGCGAGGAAGTTGCGGCTACATTTGCCGACCGCATCCAGGGAAAGAATGGTATGATCATTGTCTACTCCTCGTTTGAAGTCAGCGCTTAACCCATATACAGTGCTGGTGACCGGTGGAAGCTCAAAGGGTCTGGGTGCTACCACTGCTAGAATTCTAGCCACCCATAAGCCCGCAACCTTGATCGTAACTTATCGATCGAGGGCCAAAGTTGAAGATGTGCTCTCCGAGTTGCAGTCTATCTCACCGGAGACCAAAGTCATCGGTTTAGCTCTGGATTTGGGCGATCTCGACTCGATCCGCGCGGCGGCCGACGAGCTGAACCAGTCCATCTCGCACCTGGATATCCTCATCAACAACGCAGGCGTGATGTCCGTCCAGGACCGCGAGTTGACCAAATTCGGCATTGAGATGCAATTTGGAACGAACCACATTGGACATTTCTTCTTCACGAACCTCATTCTCCCCAAGGTGCTGGCCGCCGCGGAGAAGAACCCTCTCGAGGCTACAAGAATCATCAATATTACGGGAGGCTGGCATCAATTCAGTCCTATCCGGTTCGACGACTTCAACTGGGAGGGAAAGCCTGTCCCAGCGGACCAGGAGCCCAACAAAGCCGTGCTTGCTCACTTTGGGGCCAAGACTGAGGGCGACTATCTTCCGGAAGCGGCCTATGCTCAGTCCAAAACAGCCAACATTCTCTTCTCGGTGGCTTTGAACGCTCGGTTGAATAGCCGAGGCATAGTTTCTTATGCCGTTAACCCAGGAGGTATTTGATCCAAGTCCAGTCCTGCGTTGCTTGATCGAATGAATATCTGACCTGTTGGCTAGGTATCCTGACTGAGATTGGTCGCCATATCCCCTTGGAGAAGGCCCAAAAGATCGTTGAATCGGGCTTGTTGGACAAGACCCCGGAGCAGGGAGTGGCCGGAGCGATTAGGGCAGCGTTGGACCCGAGTGTCACTTGTAAGTTGCGTTATTAACAATGCTACTTTCACCATGTTTCTCATGGTTGCTAACTACTACGATAGTAAGCAACCCGATTTACCTGGACGACTGCCAGCAGATCCCTCCTTCGGGATATGCTAGTGACCCGGAGCTGGCCGAGAAACTCTGGAAGTTGAGTGAGGACATTGTCGGGCAACAGTTTGCTGTGTAATCTAGTTCGATGGGGGCCATATTTGATGGTAAGCAGGTGCTTTCAGATTGCATGGAAGCCTGCGGGCGTTTAGTATACCTAGTTATCACGAAGTCAAAGCATTTTACCGGTTATTGTTGATATTTACTGTACTGGTATTAGAGCTGTATGAAAACTTTAACATACCGGACAGTTACACCAGTTTCTTTGTCGATCGTCGAATGTATTGATGACTCAGCGCCAACGGCTGCGGCCCGCTAGACCCATCTTGGTCAGGCTAGTCCCGAAGGAGTAAGAAGCTGGCAACTCTAGTCATCTCGCGCCTTCAGCCATAAACAAGAGCAAGGCTAGCCCATCTTCGCCGTTTGTTCGCTCTTCTCTCTCATCAAAACTCCATCCTTCTCAGAATCCTGCCACCTGCACACACACATCTAATACGAGATGATTGAAACACAGATCGAAATTGCAGCCTCCCCAGCCAAAGTGCGGGAAGTGGTAAGTGCCAAACTCCACCCGGGTGGTCATCCTCCTCGCTTTATCTCCGATCGGGTGGAACTGCGGACCGACTGATGCATTGGCCATCACAGCTCCTCAACTTCTCGACCTACGGAGAATGGCAAAGCCTCATTAAACTCCTCGAGCCTGAAGATAGTTCCAAAACTCTCCAGTCCCTTCAACCGGGTGACAAGATCAAATGCGATGTGGATGGCATGAAATTTACGGCAGAAATCAAGGTATTCAACTATCACTCTTCTATCCATACTAGATTCTCTCTTCCTTGTGGTGTTCTATCGGTCGCTCGCTTTCGCTTTCGCTTCGATGCAAACATCAGCTAATACTGAGAATCACGCTAGGAAAATTCCGAGAAGTTGTTCCAATGGCAGGGCCCTCCCGTGTTTGGGCTCATTGCCGGACTTCATAGCTTTCATCTCGAGCCAGCCAATGGCGGCGCATCGACCGTCTTCAAGCAGACCGAGTTGTTCACCGGTGCCATTTCGTTTATGATGGGTCCTTCGTTGCTGGGAAGGAAGATGTTGGGCCAGTACAACCAATTCAACAAAGACCTCAAGGCCCGTGCGGAATCCTTAAGCTAGTGGAGCAAGCGGTGAATGATTACATTACTTGAGATGGATGACTGAATAATAATATCGGGCTACCTACATTACGGAAATAAGTACTCAATGATGAGAGATGCCTACTAAGCACGCTGGAATGGCCGGTCGCTGCGGTTTCGCCGGCCCCAGAAATTCGGCCCCCAAAATTCGAAGTGTCCACCAACCAATCTCTAGATCTGAAGCTGTAAAGTAGCTCCGCCATCAACGAGCAGACCACCTCCTGTCATATAGCTGGATCTAGGGCTGCTCAGAAACATTATAGCGTCCGAGACCTCTTCTGGATGCGCAATTCGACCGAGTGGAACTACTCGTCGGATGATGTGTTTGAGGCTGGGGTTGCCCTCGATGGCCTCGTCCGTCATTGGCGTGTCCACCCAAGACGGACAAACGGCGTTAACCCGGATTTTGTATGGGGCGTTATCAAGTGCTGGACTAACGTTAGCCGATAACTTTACAGTAGTGCCCCTGCTGCCGAGTTGGTCCGTTCTTTGTTTCCATTTCCCGCTTACCTGCATTCTTCACCATACCAAGCACTGCATGCTTAGCCGTGGTGTACTGGACGATTTGAGGTGTGGCCACATAGGAATTGCATGATCCGAGGGCAATGATAGCCCCCCTGCCAATTTCCCGGGGCCCAGTGCGCGACGGCACGGTCATGATGTCCTGCCGTTTCATAGCCGCGCTTACAGCCTTGAGGCAATTAAACGTGCCTTTCACATTCACGCTCCAGAACCGATCAAGTTCCTCCCCTGACGCTTCTGCAATCTCCAACGGGTTTCGAACGCCAAGCTGCGGGGCGTTTTCAATGTCAGCTTACCCCCGGCTAGTTCGGTTTGGCTGAGACTTACACCAGCACTATCCACACAGTAGTCAATCCGGCCCACATTGGCCACAGCCTGCCGAACCATGGTCTCCACTGATTGTTCGTTCGAGACGTCGACTTCGAGCACATGGATTATCAGAGCGTCTCCACTCCTCCTCGATGCCGCTTCTCTGCAAAGCCTTGCCGTCTCATCTGTCGCGATTTTATTAATATCTGCTAGTACCAGTGCACGTGCTCCCTCGAGTGCATAGGCAATGCTGACATCGCGGCCGATGCCCGAACCTATGCAACCCCAGTTAGTCTATACTATCCCCTGCAACGAAGAATTTTCCATCCACGTGGTAGACAAAACGGAAGAAGAAAAAAGGGGCGGAGAGAGAGACGACAATAAAACATCGGAAGAATGTGGGCTCGACTCAGGCCAATGACATGAATGGAAAAGTGAGTCACATACCGGCACCTACGATGAGCGCGTTTCCAGTAATATCCATTGCGAGGCTATGCCGGAGAAAAAGAAGGTGGCTTAGGGACTGCAATTAAGGCAAATAGTAATCAAGTGAGGCAGTGGAGATGGAGTGTGTGAAAAGGTACTCCCCCAGGCTGATGAAAATCATGAATCTTATATAGATACAGCCCCGAGCTGACCGATTATTAAGCACAGTTACGCTGAGATGCTAAGCGTTTATATCATTATATGATTCAGATAATAACAATCAATTATACACGGCATTAGTCTCTCGAGTGTAAGTTAATCCACCTTCTTCTCTCTCGCCTTTTCTCCTTCCTCCACCGCTTTCCTCAGCTTATCAAATTGGAAGTCACGAGCGAAGAACCAATCCTATGTACGATGTTAGCGTTTAAAATGATTTTTATCTGTAAAGAGGGGGGATAAAATACCCAGAATGTTCGAGGTAACATGGCATCCCATATCCGGATGATGGTTGTTAGGTTTCCGTGCCAGAACCAGGCAGAAGGTGAGCTTTTCTGCACTTCGGCATAGACTCCAGATGCGTACTCGGCTGGAGTCATTGTGTCTGATGCAACAAAATTCAGAATATGAACAAATTCATACAACTGTTGGAGACTCACTGGGTGTGCGCCGTACATGCGCCTTGAACTCTTCACTAAGCGGTTGGAATATTGAATCTAGTCGTTTATCTCAGCTTGATGCTCAAAAAAAAAGCCGTCCGAGCAAAGAACTAACCAGCAGGTAATGATGCATCATAATCTCTCTTCAAGATATTTGTGCCCACTTCCCCCGAAATCACAGTGATCACCTTGACCCTGGGATTGCAGTTAGCGCTTTCTGCTCTCTGGAAGAAGAATACAGACTGTCTTGTACCCGAAAGGCTTCATTTCGGCCCTGAGTGTATTTCCATATGCATGCAAAGCAGCTTTGCTTGCATTATAAGAGGCTGTGTGAGACAGACTTTATCAACACCGTTTCCGCAAATGGCAAATAGAGGATATGAGACTGACCGCCATAGATGTATGGCACAATACCACCAATGGAGCCGATATTTACGATCGTCCCTTTTGCTGCCACAATTGACTTGTGAAAGACTCGTACCATCCTCATGGGCCCCAGTACGTTGACGGCAAACATCTTCTCAACTTGAGATACATCAGTATCGACAGCTGGCATCGTGTACACTAGAAAGGGCAGTAAGTCGCAAATCCAGGAGCTTGCGTGGTCTCAACCAACCGATTCCACTGGACATCATATTAGTAAGATCAGATATGCATTAGAGTCGGGATTTTCATACGCATTATTGATCAAAACATCAAGCTTTCCTTGAGTCAGAACTCTGGTTGACTCAAGCAGAGATTCACATTGCGAATCACTGGTAACATCCGAGACAAAAACGTGAACTCCAAGGTCTTCCAGGTGATCCCGGGCCTCGTTGGGGAGGAGAGTTGCAATCACAGTATAGCCTAATAGAGTGCATTTTAGTTACCATCATCTGCCAATAACCTGTCTGAGGTTTGCATACCTCCCACAATGAATTGAGAGGCAAGGGCATGGCCAATCCCGCCTTTGCCGCACCTAGGTATGAATTATTAGAAGACATGCACCCATTTCCTCTAGGGTCACTTCTTACCCTGTGATCAGCGCCGAAGGTTTCCGCTCCATTTTGAACAGTTCTTCGGTGTCAAGCCCAGATAACAGAAACAATCAGATACGCGATCTCGTTTCCCAGCCGTTGATAAGAGAGAGAGTTCAATCCTGGTGTCGCAGCGTTACACTAGCCCACTGATCATTTGATGATGAGCCTTTTTCACCCTGCTCAATGTTGCTAATCTAAGGACTCTCAAATGCATGTATCCAGATTGAGAGAGGCGATGTCAACAACAAATAGCGCTAAGGAAACCCCCAGCAAGGAGGTCCAAGCACCGAATTCGCCGGCCTTACACCCCATGATCCGAGAACAACAAGGTTCTAGACTACAAAACTAATCCGTATAACATGACACTATGAAGCATTGCCCTTTTTTGCCCCGCTCTCACCTCAGAAATCGAAGCTCGTTATCGGGATAAACCTGGCATTAGAAATGGCGCCAATGGCACGTGGGGGCGGTATCAGTATGACAGTTAACTTGGCCCCCGAATTTAAGGACGATGGAAACTGTCTAAAATAGATTACCCTCTTCAATTGGGGCTGAAGTTTGCCATGTGCGAACGGACAAGGACCAGGAACAGGGCCTGCTGCAGGTGCTAGCGTTGGTTCCTTGCCATCGGAATCTTCAGCCTGTCACGACAAAATTACGATTAGTGTCTGCAAATGAGCGCCCCATCACGCCGTTCTGAGCTGTTGCAGTATTGTCATTTCTGTGGTTTTTTGCAATTTGGGTCTGCCTTGTGCTTCTTTTCAGCTAGCTAACGCTTCCTTCCAGAACCAAAGGCCTGTAGTCAGGCAACTACTTCGGCCTCGCCAGGTACTTCATGGACTTTTCTTTTTTTCAAATATATGGCTGTGTTGATATAAATTCTATATATATCAAGGGGGCCGTCTGCACCCTGTGCCATGTTAATCCACTCTCATCTTCATAAGAACACAGCGTTGTATCCTCACTGAACCATATCAAGGCTTTCATACTTTTTACCTCTTTTCATTTTACTACACGATCATTTTGGCCTTTTGCATATACTCCTCATAGACTCTATTACCTTTTAATTCTACATTAATACACACAAGAATACAACATGAGTGTCTCATCAGCATCGAGTTTTGTGGAGGTGGAATCCGATAGATCTGAGAAGCCCAAGCCTCAACCCACAACTGAGAAAAGTGGGCTACAAGAGCCCATTGCTATTGTCGGCCTAGGTCAGTTTGATAGCCAGTATCCACAACGCATATACTGACTGAACATCTAGGATGTCGTCTTCCTGGAGGTGTCTCGTCCCTAGACGACTTCTGGGACATGCTCATCAATGGCAGGACAGGACAATGCGACATCCCATCCTCCCGCTTTAACGCCGAAGCTTTCTATCACCCCGATAAAGAGCGACCGGGAAGCATGAATACAAAGGGCGGTTACTTCCTCAAGGAAAACATCCGGGACTTTGAGAATTCCTTCTTTGGAATCAACAACCTTGAGGCTACCTATATGGACCCGCAGCAGCGAAAGCTGCTGGAGGTTGTATATGAGAGTTTTGAGAGCGCCGGTGCTCGTCTGGAAGATGTCTCGGGGTCCAACACCGGCGTGTATGTTGGAAACTTCACAATGGACTTTCAGGTCATGCAGACGAGAGACCCCGAGTATCTTCATCGTTACAGTGCCACGGGTATGGGAACGACTATCTTGAGTAACCGTGTGAGCCATGTTTTCAATTTGCTCGGGCCTAGGTATGCAAACTTATAAGATGAGAAAATTTTTGTCATTCTGCTGATAGAGAGATAGTTTGGTCCTAGATACTGCGTGCTCCTCTTCTCTATACTGTCTTCACACGGCTGTCATGGCATTACGGAATCATGAGTGCGACGCTGCGGTCGCAGCTGGAGTTAATCTAATCCAATCCCCAGAGCAACACATCGGTACAATGAAGGCCGGAGTTCTGTCGAAAACTTCGACGTGTCACACCTTCAGCGACCAGGCTGATGGCTATGGGCGCGCGGACGGTGTGGGAGCCGTGTATGTCAAACGTCTCAGTGATGCCATTGCCAACAAAGATCCCATCCGAGCAGTCATTCGTGGATCTGCGGTCAACGCGTGAGTAGCATCAATCTGTCAGGACACGATTCATATACTGACCTACCTTAGAAATGGCCGTACACCCGGAATCACACAGCCAAGCTCTATTGGACAGGCAGCTGTAGTACGCAAGGCCCACGCCCAGGCAGGGCTGAATCTTCGCGATACTTCGTACGTGGAGGCCCACGGCACTGGTACTCCTGTGGGCGATCCGATTGAGATTCGTGCCCTCGCGGACGCATTCTCAAGCAGACCGAAGTCTTCGCCTTTGCTGATTGGCTCAGTATGCTATCCCTCAAACTCCTTATGATACTGTGTTCTAGTACTGATGTCCTACAAACAGGTCAAAACCAATCTCGGACATAGTGAAGCCGCCAGCGGTATCTCCAGTATCATCAAGGCTGTTCTCGCTTTGGAACGAGGAGTGATTCCTCCAACTATAGATGTTGGAACTATGAATCCTGACATCAAGGCGTACGACTGGAACGTCGAAATAGTCACCCAAAACACACCATGGCCCTGTGATGGTTGGAATATTCCTCGAAGAGCTGGTGTTGTAAGTCGTTTATTGTGAGACGTGGTCTATTTTCAATGATTCTAACACTTTGGTAGAACTCGTTTGGTTACGGCGGAGCCAACGTTCACGTTGTCTTGGAGGCATCCGATTCGTTCGTGCCAGCAGGCTATCACAAGAACATTGTGCCCACCTCGGTGCTTAATCTGATCAACAAGAAATTTCTCCTCCCTTTTTCGGCCTCCAGCCAGTCCGCCCTTACAGCCAGAGTGTCTAGTCTTAACGGGAAGCCCACCAATCTGGTTGATCTTGCCTACACTTTGACGACACGTCGGTCCAAGCTGGCATCTAATGGCTTCCTGATTGCCTCGCAGCGCACTCTGGCAGACGATCTCAAGCCCGAGAATCTAATCATTCCCCGCGAGACCAACATTCATTTCAGCAAGGGGCTGACTTTTGTGTTCACGGGACAAGGCGCGCAGTGGGCTGCAATGGGAAAGGGCCTCATCGACCAATACGCTGCCTTCCGCAACTCCATCCAGCAATTTGACGCAGTTCTTAAAGGCCTCAAGCATTCCCCGTCCTGGACCCTTCTAGACACTCTGACTCAACCGGCTGAGAGGAGCAATATCAATGAGGTCAGCCGGGCGCAAACCGCATGTACCGCTCTGCAAGTTGCTCTGGTTGACCTCCTCTCTTCCTGGGGTATCGAACCGTCTGCAGTCATTGGACACTCGTCTGGTGAGATTGCAGCAGCTTATGCCTCCGGATTCTTGACCTCAAAGGAAGCGATCACCATCGCCTACTACCGCGGCTATGCGGTCAGCAAGCTGTCCATCAAAGGACAGATGATGGCAGTCGGGTTCGGGCAGGAGAGTGCTCTCAAGGAGATCGAGCGCAACGGATTGACCGGGAAGATCACCGTGGCTTGTGTCAACTCGCCCGAGAACGTCACTCTAAGCGGCGATGCTGACGCAATTGACAGTCTACACTCAGCCATGAGCGATTCGAGTGTCCTCCGCCGCAAACTGCTCACTGACGGTCGGGCGTATCACTCGCACCATATGACTCAAGTCGGTGCCGAGTACGAAAGCCTTGTCCGAGCCAGCTGTGAGCCACTCACGACCCGCGTGAAGAGCAAGGCTCATGTGAAATGGATCTCGTCTGTATTCGTTACCCCGAACACAGACACGATCAATTACTCCTACTGGCGACACAATCTTGAGAAGCCTGTTCTGTTTGGTCCTACTCTCCAGAAGCTTTCTGAAACGCACTCAACTTCGTTGGTTGAGATCGGTCCTCACGGGGCCCTGAAACTTCCCATCAAGCAGACTCTTCAGGATGTTGGAATTACCGCTCCTTATTTCCAGGCCGTCACGCGTGGAGAGTCCACTGACCTGAGTCTCTTGAAGCTCCTGGGTAGCTTGTATGTGGCTGGTGCGAATGTGCCTCTTAACCTCATCAATGGGCTCGACAATGTAGCTGCGGCTAGGGACCTCAGTCTTGTTGGCAAGATTGTGAAAGATCTCCCTACCTACCAGTGGACGTACCAGCAGACACTGTGGAATGAGTCGCGTGCTAGCATCGAGTTCAGGAACCGCAAGTACCAGCGCCATGAGCTGCTCGGCTCTATGACTACCGGTAGCAACCTGGTGGACTTCACATGGCGGAACGTTATCAATGCCAACGATGTGCCATGGATCCAGGATCACAGGCTGGATCGCACTATTGTATTCCCTGCCGCTGGATACATTGCCATAGCCATTGAAGCCCTGACCCAGGCTTTGGGCAAGAAGCAGACGGACGGTTTGTCCTATGAGTTGCGCAATGTTAACATCATGGCCGCTTTGACTTTGTCCAGCCAGGATAATATGGTGTCTGCGGAGGTTTTCACTACTTTGCGAAAGAAAAGTGTCTCTCCCACTGTGAAATCGAAGAAATGGTGGGAGTTCGAGATCGTTTCCGTTAAAGATGGAATCTCGTCCACGCACGTCCTTGGTTCTATTGCGGTCCATGTGCCTTGTGGGTCTCTTGCTGCTGTTGTTGAGCTAAACGAGGCTCATGGCGAGCCGTCTGCAGTGCGCAACTGGTATCAGAAGATGAGACATGAGGGTTTGAACTTCGGGACCCAATTCCAAACCATGAAGACGCTTCGCGTTCCCCGAGGCAGGACGGACCGCTGGGCTATCTCGGAAATTGATGTCCACCAGCGGACTCCGGGCGGTATCGATCATGATTCAAGGTATACTATCCACCCTGTCAGCATTGATGGCATGTTCCAGACTGCCATCATTGCCGGAGCCCACGGAGTCATTCCGGATCTCTTGGCTCAGGTCCCCGTGTCTTTCGAGAGCGCTATCATCCGCGCACCTACGGCTGCGGACTTGGCCAGCAGCTACACGGTCTTTGCTGACTCCCATGCGACGA